TCTGTTGATCTCCATTTCCGGGTATCTAGTCTGTGAAACCTCTTGCACATGCGGCCTCGATGCTATGCTTCCCAGGTTGAAGTGTGCATTTCAATGACGTCAGCCTCATGCAAGCTCTTTGGTAGGGCACCGATAACACGTGTCGAGTCCATGCACGTTTCATATCTCGTGGTTGGGTTTAGTCCTCCTGGAACGAGACTCCGCCCTCTTTCGACTTGTGCCACGGGACGACCTGGCCACTCTTAGCTAGGCCTTTGTCTAACCTGAACTTGTCTGCATGATGGACGCTTCATGCTGACAGGAACAGGAGAGCTGCAAGGTTGCAGGAGCTCGGCCGGAAGCCAGCTCTCTTGTTTCCTCAAGCGTCCACGAATGGCTTGTGCACATGCTGCAAGGGCTGGAAGACCACGTCCCATGCTGCGTCCTTCCAAAGTGGATCCGGCAAAGGGACAAGGGCACCGAAAAGCTCTGACTGCCTGATGGAAACCCCTGCGCCCCCTGTGTTTCAGTGACATGGCCATGCAAGACTAAGACTGTCCTGTTAACACAAACTCGGAGAGGATACCTGCACCTGGCTCCGTATAAGGCTGTGTCATCTCTCTCACAGACACGGCACCAACTTCACCCTAAACCCTGAAATCCTAGAATTGCTCTCCTGGAAGGCTCGAAGAAATCGACGGCACCAGCTTGGTGGGTACATCCTCGCGGAGAAGTTGGCCAGGAAAGTTCACTGCCTTCTAGATTATTTACATTGTCAGCTTGCAACAGTTTCAGGAGTTTTTGCTCCTCCCTCCGCGAGCTTGCAAATCGGGGCCTTGATACTTAAACTAGGAGGGTTTCGATTGCTACTGCTTGTGCAGGCTCCTGTGCTAACCGCATTCCACTCCCTACTGCCGCTGAAACGTTTCAGGCTCTCGTTTTCCGGGACCCAGCGCCTGAGCGCAAGCGACAGACTCGACCCCAGCCTGAACCGAATCTCGGCCAAAGATTCTTTCGCCCTAATGCCCCATGCACTCACGCCCAAAGCCTGAATGGCAGTGATGTTGACACCCTAAACCCTCACTAGAACCTGGCAAGGCAAGCCGGACTTGAAGCCGAGCCACTGGTAGGACATTCGCAAATGAACACACCAACGCTGAGAATGCTCTTCCTGGAACAGATCCGTCAGAATTACGGCACCACACGACACCGAAGCCCTGGAGATCCCCAACTGCCAAGCTTCCGACAGCTTTCAACTCCGTGTTGCCAGTTTGGGCGCCCAGGAAGCTCTTCTTAGACTCTTGGGGTCCCGAGGCAAAAGGTTCTGTGTTGTGCCTCGATTGCTTGGAGTGGTCTCGCAAGCTCGACTGACTAGTTGTGTTTTCGATTGCGAATGGCTTGTCCTAGATGAAACCGTCTTTGGAGGAGCACTCAGGGGCCTATTCAGACATCTATACAACCCCTGGTCACGACTCTCGACCCCTACATGTCCGTCGCGGCCAGATCCTGACAAACTCATTTCTCTCGTGTGACACTGCCGGCCCGGGTTTGGGAGCTTCAACATCAAGCTTTGCACTTCTACCCCTCTGGGCTTCCTGTCTTCAGAGCTGCTGGGAGCTTCATCGATGGTCTAAGAACCGAAGAAGCCAAAGCCTGATGACCCAGCACTTACGCCTCGAAACCGAAATACCAACTCACAGTGGGATGTGCCGAAAAACAGAACTTCAACTCATTCAAAAATCTGATCCGCAGCCACAGAACTTGTACAATGAAGGGACAATCCCTCCGCCGAGAGGCAACAATATCAAACTGCAGCGGTTGATACAACCATTCCCACTGGCCTTTGGCTGACTTGCCATGGGCTTCCCAAACACTCCAACAAAAACCCTGAATTGGTATCCTTGCAACGCGTTAGGACATTTTTGAGTTCAAGGGAGTTTGGAATCTGTGGAAGCAGTACGTGGACAACTTGCTACCAAGATACAAGCCCGAACAAATGTTAATAGCGGTCCCTGGAAGTCCCTGTATATAGTTAATGTGCCACCGAAGCCTGCCCTAATCATAACTGTCCCAGTATCGGGGCTTCTGTTGGCTTCATCCTCGTGCTCGGTAACCCATGCTTTCAGCTCCCGTGGCATGCCAGGGCTGCCAGGGACTGAGACTTCCTAAAGCTCACTCTTCCGGTACTCTTGTTCAAGACTTAACCAGAAAAGCCCGCGAGGGCTCAGATGCTCAGAGGTTGAAAAGAAACGGACAAATCGCTTTGGGCGAAGAGTCTCGGAAACCAGTGCAATCGGCAATCAATTGGTTGGCCCTGAGGATTGGCGCCTTGAACACAGAGTGGATGATTGAGCGCGGTGGTGTTGCAGCTTTCGAAGAACTTGCAATTCAGCGTTCTCAGCTACTCTATGCGCCTTGCCTGAAATCGGACATTAGAGGTGGTGTTTTGGGGAAAATTGCTCCAAACCCCATGCCACAAACCCCCCAACCCCACATTCTAGTCCTGTCAGCCTGTCAGCCCCAAAAAGCCCTAAAATTCTAAACCCTGAATCCCTCCAAGCCCGGACTGACTTTTCTGTGCCGCTGAAGCGCTCCACGCGATGGATACCGGTCTTCCCGGCCTCCAGAAGGCCTCTGGGACCTCCGCAGGTTTTAGGACATCATGTTCTGACTTAGAAGGTTGGGGGCGGGGGTTAGAGGCTTAGTGCTCCAAGTTGGAGAGCTGACTGACAGATGAGCCGAAAGCCTAGGTCTGCTTCCTTCGGCACTTCTACTTCTGCTAGCCCTTTCCAAACATCACCAGGACCCTACATGAGGTCCCCCGAATGTTCAGAAGCGGTTGCTGCCAGATGCTTGCCCGCTCAACAGGAGCCTGTCGGAAGCCTCCGTCGTGCCGGCGCGAGTCGCGAAGATCGAAGTTCACAACCGTCCTCTCACCTTTGCCTCGCTTGACCACTTCTAGGGAATATGGTGCACACAGCATCTGCCGTCTGAAACAATGCGAGGGGCCTTTGCTACCTGCTGTTGGGGATAGCCATGAGTCTGACAAGCTAAGCCATGACTAATCGCCGAATACCTGTTCGCTGAAGAACTCTCGTTAGGCAGCCTCAGCAAAGCTTGCTGATATCAGGGTAGACAGCCCCAAATGTCCGCAAACAAGGCAAGCTTCGGACAGCGTCGAACACCGACCACCGCCGCAGCCGCAGGATGTCGGCCACATCCAGCAGAACACCAAGTATCCTTGAGCCAAAGTGTAATGCAGGGGCCGGAACAGTTGGAGTCAGGCACTGGGGTGGACTGTGGTATAACAGCAGCATGACATAATATAGGTGTTATAAAGGGGGCATTAAGGGTTCGTGAACCATCCGGACATCGTGCGTCGAGCCATAATATCAATGGTGTCCAGGAAGGATCCGGGGCAGAGCTTTGGGGTTTCCATGTTGCCTGGGCACGTGGCATCCTCGAGATGTGTGGGAACACAGATGTCGCGCCAATCTGCGAAGAGCCCCACCATGCCTCGATCTGGACTTGGAACTTGGCTGGCAAAGCTTTGCTTGCACTATCCCAGTGGTTAGAAGCAACAGTGTCGCAGGCAAGGAAGTCGCAAGGCTCAGTGCTGTAAGAGAAAACTTGTACTCCAGCGGTACCTTTCATTGGCAACGCTTGAAGCCCCACCAACGCTCAAAGTCACTGAAGCCCACTTCCACCTATACATTTGGGAGTTTCCTCAATGTGGGACTCCCCAGTAAGGCGAAACAATGCAGCCCGCAAGAGAACACCCCCGATTCATCTAAATCTACCCTGGTGAGATGACCTCCGGAGCCGGCCTGCTTCCAAGCCATCCCTCATCGGTACCTCGGTCCGTTTATAAGGGGTTTGGACTGGGGGTTTGAAGCGAGTCGAAACGCAAAGGAGCAAGCCTTGATCGAGATAGCGCGAGAGTTGCTCGTATTGGATCCCATCAATGTTTGGATTCGAGCTGTGTAGTACAACGCTGACAAAACCACTCTGCAATCTCTGTACTGTTGCCTGGCTGCGTACAAAGTCATTTCCACATCGCCAGAGCAGGACGCTCTGGCATTCGCCACGACGACGATGGCCAGAAGAAGGTAGTTCCTGGAAGGCACTGGGGTCACAGGGCAGAAGGACTCCGGTTTTCACGCCATGTTTGATGTTGCCATGCTGTTTCACGCAGCACTCAGTGCATTCACCGTTTTGGGGGGGGGGTCCCCAGCCTCGGGCCCTGACAAGTCCCTCGAACTCAGCTCGAGGCTGAGGAATGCAAGGGCTCCTGAAACTGGTAAGCTCAAGATTTTTTTTGGGGGACTGTCAGGACACATGCACGATAACAGCATGGCTGCGAAACCAGCTGACTCAGTCTTCAAACGCTGCCATACCCAAAGACTCCAAAACCTTTTGCTTGAGGAATCTTAGGTCAATACTGGGACCACCTCCACAGTTTATGCTGCTGCTACTTTGTGGCTGAATTAACGGCTTTGTGGAGCCTCTGGGCAAACAGTCCAAGGCCAAAGCAACCTCATGGTACACCCATGCAGATGCAGTGGAAAAATGCCGTGCGATGGAGGGAGAAAAGAAGCAACGATGAGGTCATTCAAGGCTTTGCGGGATTTTGTGGTTGTTTGCACCGGCTGTATCGTCACATCAGGCTTGACAGCATGGCAGGAAGAACTGCTGCCCCTGAGATTTTAAATCCCAATGCCTAGCCATTCCAAACACTCGGGTTAAGGGCTTGAGTTTACCAACCATAGCTGGAGAGCACACAACACCGTGCTGTACCCTTAAAGTAGCATGTGACGGCTGGTGTTAGGGTTTTACCAGCATGTCGTCTGACAACCAACTCCGGATCATTGACATCGCACAGTCTGTCGAGTAATGATACGGTGCCTCAAGCCGGTACTCTAATCAGCACAGTCGAACTCGCTCTGTTGCGTTGTACATGTCTGTGAAACTTAGATGCTCTTGCTACAGGACGCAAGCGCCAAAAACATCATCGAAGCTGCTCACCCACCGCCTACCAAGTACGAGAGAAGCGTTCTGCAAGTCCGGCGCAGCTGCTCTTTGATAGTGCTGTGTACCTCGCACACGGGGCCCTAACCGACAGAAAGTCCCTCATAACGAGCTATGAACGAGCGGTCCCAAGCGTCAAAACGCCGACAACTTCAGGACACCCCAAGCGTGGATCGCTTCACCGCCACACTCCACTGCAGGACGAAAATCCCCACCAGAAGCTAAAAGTCATCGAAGACACTTACAACCCCCCGAAAACACCCCGGAAAAGCTGGCTCCCTAAAAAGCTCCCTTCCGCGGGCAAGAGGCCGCACGGTAAGTGTTGCGTGCATCCGGAGTCTTGGTTTCTGAAGTCGCCAAGTTCTGTTCGATGCTGTCCGTGCGCGACCACCTCTCACGGCTCTGTCCGGATTCTTGCTTAGGGTTAGGGTCAAAAGGACCTACACGCACTGACATGAAGCGAAGTCTTTTGGGTGCAAAGGGTTGTGGACATTGAGTTTACAAGGTTCAGGGTTGACAGGTTTAGTTTTCAGCTCAGAGCTTTGGCAGTAAGGTTTAAGGCTTGGTGGGCTCAGTGTCTGGGATGTAGAATGACGTTTAGTCGCAGATGTCTCAGGTCAGACTACCCTCATACAGCTGCCTCCCACCATCACCTACCGTTTTGCAGGGCATTAACAACCCCAATGCAGAATTTCAATCAGGAACGTTTGAATAGGTAAGGGTAGGTCAATCACCGTAGGCCATCATGGGACGAAGCGTCTTTCTTGAAGCCAGAAACCCGCTGGCTTTGCCAGAAAAGGAACCATCAGAAGTTGGGGCAGGCCTACTGGTCTACTTAAGCAACAAGAGTTCAGGGGCTAAGGCGTCTAAGGATGCCTTCGTAGCTCTCGAGTCGTTTGCCGAACAGGGGTTGTTTGAGGAAACTTGCATGTTTGTGTGCTAAGTGCCCCAGACCCCCTCCCCCAAACAAAGGGTTTATTTGTCTCTCTCACACACGGACCGGACAAGAGAAACATTCGAATCACTAGAAGCCCAATCTCACCAAGCTGTTACAGTACTTCCCCAGCCACCTCCAACGACCCCTAAGACTCCCTGCAGCCCTAAACCCTAAAACCCCTCAACCCCTCAACCTCGCCACTCTCCTTGGCTACACTTTGCAGCGAGCGACTGCCGCACCAGCGCCCGGACACCTTCACTCTCCTGTTTCAGGACTTTGGGCCTATATGGGGGCCTTGATGTTTCAAGCAGTTGAATTTTAATGATATAATATAGCTGCAGCCCCTTCTCCACATAAGCAAGTCCTACGTTTCTTGGATGGACCCTCGCTGTTCTTCAGTTTTAGGGTTTAGTTTCTCCGTCTGCGTTCTAAACCCACGTCATTCCGAACAGTTGAAGCCACAAGAGCTGAACTGCAACTGGGAAATTCGTGCACTGTGCAAACCAAAGCGCACAGGCGGCCGCTAGGCGATCCACTTTTCCATCAGAGCAGCACTGGTACACATGGGACGACAAGGGGACCTTTGGTCCGAGACGCCGTCGGTTCCGTTAACGCACAGCCATCCTTCAGCACACTGTTGAGTCTTCATGAAGGATACATGGATGGTGCATGAGTATGCTTCTTGCACTCACACACCCCGAAAAGTAAAAACATGCACCAGACATGTCATTTGCGGAAGTAGCCGCGGAACTTGGGCTTCTCGGCCCACTGATCCACCACTCTGTCTTCAGTTAACACAAAACACGCCTCCTTAAGAACCCTTCGAAGAAGACTCATTGGGGAGCCCAGTTTGGTCAACACGTCCACGATCATCTGTCTGGTAGCTACCCACTTGAGCTGGATGTTGTGCTTCTTGATGTCGTTCTTTAGAAGCAACATCTCTATCGCCATCCGCTTGTCCTTGATGCTCACCGTGCAGCTGTGTGCATGATCATAAACTGGCTTGCAGTCGATCACAGCTGTAAGTGGCACCACCGCAGACCAGCTCAGGTCCTCCTCAAGCTTGTACTTCTCGTTCAGGGCCTCACACCACATGGATCTCATCCATCTTGCTTCTGCCACGGCACGCGACAGCGATAGGAGCTCTGCCCCCAGCGTCGAATGCGTCTGCCTGTCTTGCTTGTAAGACTTCCAGCGTAGCAGTGAGAACGTTCCCCAGTGACCTTGCTGGAGCATCTTGTCTCCTGCTGCAATCATGTAGCCCGCCTGGCTGCACTTCCGAGCAGCATTTGCCCAAGAAGCATCCGACAGGACCACAAACTGAAGCTCCTCCACATCGATCGGCCTCACACGGATTGCCATGGTCGCATGCTCACATGCTAAGCTAACCAACTTGTTTGCTTCAACAAGCTGCTCCACAGTCGCAGTACCCACCTTCTGCTGCAACAGGGAACACCAAGCAGCGAGATCTGGTCGGCTTCCGGACACCAGCCAGTTAACAGCCCCCAAGGTGGCTCTCAACTGTCCCGTCTCATCCTCCGTCAGTCTCTCTTCTCTCTGCTTCTTTCTAGCAACAGGAATTGACACACCTTTCAGCTGACTGGCGTACTCCGTCTGGCTGATGTTGATTTCTCCAGTGTCGTCTTGCTGCAACACTTTGCCTAGAAACTCACCTTGTCTACGCTTCCAGTGCTTGAAGGGATAGATCTTCTTGAGTTCCTGAACCACATGTTTTTCAAAGTGCGCATCCCCACCCAAACACATGTCATCAACATGCAAAGCAATTGCACCTGATATCTTGCCGCCATGAAAGTACCAAAACACACACGGATCAAAATTTGACACCCTCATTCCTAGCTTGACAAGCACAGCACTAAAGCTCTTCCACCAGGCCTTTGGCGCATCTGCTAAACCATACACTGTCTTCACTGCCTCGATGACACAGTCGCCGTCGTAGCCCTCGATGCCTCCCGGAGGCATCTCTATGAAGAGCCGGCCTCGTGACTCCTCAAGCTTGTCGCCTCTCAAGAAAGCGCCTTCCACGTCTGCTATCTGTATGTCCCATCGCTTGCTTGCCAACAACTGCACCACTGTGGCAAACCCTTCAGCAGACAACGTCGGCGCATTGGTGTCGAGGTCCAGTAGTGCTGGATCCAGGTAGCCCCGAATGCACCACCGTGCTTTCAACCCCATGGTGGCCTCATTGTTTTGGCCGTCTGCTTCCGTGATGACAAACCGTGACTTCATGAACTTCCCGTTCTTTCCATGCTCTTCACGCACTCTCTTTGCCTCACGGCCTTTGTCGACGATGATCGCACCACTGTCCAGGAGCTTTTTCCCTCCTTCAACTTGGCTTTCTCTAGCCCAGGCTTTCGCTCATCGGACACACTGCTCATTGCAACCTCCTTCCTTCCTTTTGTCCTCTCAACCTGTACACGCTTCGACTCTGCAACATACACTTCAAGCTCTTCATCTGTATCACCCGGCACTGGTATATTGCTTGCGTCTGTCGGCACGCTTCCAAGCGCACTCACACCGTCAAGTTGATTCGGATTTCTCCGCATGGCACTCGTCAACTCTGACACACCATCAACGAAACGCCCACGCTTCAACGGCGATCCTTCACCATCTTGCTCTGGTTCACGCACACGCTCAACTGGCAACACACGCTCACGCACAACAGGTTCGACTACTCCTTCATTCGCTCCTTCCTGTTGAGCAACGACCTCATCCTCCATGACCACGTCGCCTGCTCCTAGTCGGTGCTCCTGCCGCTCCTGTGTTTCATCTCGGCCTCCACGCTCATCATCAACATCCCAACTCGAGGATGGCCGTTCCTGCTCAGTCAAGTCATGATATGTTCCAGCTCCACGTGCACTCACTTCTGACCGGACATGCACAACATCTGCTGGCAGTAAACGGATCATGGCCTCTTGGTCTGGTGATAACTTCCGAAGCTGCTCAGGGCAGCAACGGTACACTTTAGTGCCTGACGCTATCCAGATCTTAGAGCCACTCTGCGATCCAACCACCACTGCTGGACCATGCCAATGATGCTTGTTCTCATACCGATGTCGTCTCCAGAAGTACACCAGATTTCCTGCCACAAACGGTCCTCGCTCTGGCCGCGTACGGTACTCCAGAGCTGCCCGAATCCTTGAGTCTCCATCTGCCTCCAGGAATGCCTTTCGTGCAGCTGTTCTGAAAGCCATACGTCTCTCAAAGATTGACTCACCTTGCACCAGCCCAGAGTTGATCACAGGATCGTATTCTGTAGTCACAAGCCCAGGAATCCGCAACTCACGCCCAAACACATGCTGACATGGTGAATACCCGTCCTTTCGTGTCATCGTGTTGACCGCCACGTTCACGTTGTCAATGAGCTCTTGTACCTCCTGCTTTGACCGTGGTGCAGCATCTAGTGCTGCTTTCTGGAAAGCCAACTTCCAGACTCCTCCTTTACGTTCTGTGAGTCCGTTTTGCCATGGAGCATACGCTGCTGCCTTGTCACCAAAGGAACCATCGAGTCCTAGACCGTGCTCAAACTCAGCTTCGAACTCAGGACCTCCATCGGTGAACACCCGAATGGGTGCTCCGGCCCATCTTTTCCAGGCCTTCCTGTATGCATTCCGAACATGTTTTGCTTGCTTGCCCTTCCACAACGGAACACACAACTGATACGACGTGCCTTCATCAACGATGTTGAGAAAATAAAGCCTGCTACCTCGGACCTCCAACTCAAGCGTATCCAAACACACTTGTTGAGTGAACTCAGTAGCCCTTCGAACTTTCGTCACGTTATGAGACCTAGGCTTTGACACAGCATCGCAGACCTCACACGTGAGCCCCTTAGCAAGCCTCAAAACCCTTTCTGAAGCATGAGCTGCCTTTAGCAGCATGTTCATCCTGGCACTCGAAGGGTGTCCTAGGTTCTCATGGCACCGCCGAATAAGTGTCATGACCTGTCGGTCATTCAGTCCTTCACCTGATCGCAGGTCCTCCACGGCATGAACACATGTGCTCGTCACCACCAGCTCCTTAGCCCTCTTCCAGTCAAGCACACTCGCAACGCACATGTTACCAGCCACTCTCAGCTTCATCTGGCTCTCACTCTCGCCCTCCTTTCTCTTCTCAACACTACCTTCACTTTTTCTCACTCGCTCAACGAACTCATGACAGTTGGTCAACCACATGGTCTGCAGTCCAGGCATGCACACACATGTTACCCCTTCACGACGCATCAGAACCCCATGCCTGTCAGCCTGCTTCCCAATCTCAATCGCAAACAGCCCCCTTGACTATCCTGATAGCTCCCCAGCGCATTCACAAACTCACTGTAGCTACTGCAGTACAAGCGGTCCGGATTGTAGTTACCAACATGCATGGCTCGCAGGGCATACGGCATGGTGCAGACGAACATGCGTGGCTTCAGCTCGCTCAACTGACGCATCACCTCTTTTTTCAGCTGGCTCCCGAAGTAGTGGTGGTGCCTTTCAAACTTCTGACCATTTCGCAAGACATGGCTGGCTGCTAGGCCAACCTTCTGAGCGTTCCGCTCAGCATCGCCAGAAAACAGCTCCAGCAGGTCTATCTTGGAACCAACATCACCACTAACCTGACCCAAACTCCTACCTGGCTGCTCACCTATCACACACAACCCTTGCCTGCAAAGCTGCTTCTCGCTCCTCGTCATGACGGAAGAAATCTCACCCGGCTCTCCACGGCTCCTCAGTGGATCTAGCTCTCGTTCTCCAGCGCCTCGAGCTCCAGCTGGAGATGAAGCATCTTCTCCATCAGTGCCTCCTTCATCTTGAGGCGCTCCTTTGCCAACTCGATCTTGACCGTCATGCTCTCGGGCTCCGGCATCGACACCTTCTCCCAGCCCGCATAGCCATCGCTCGAAGCGGCGAGCTGCCTCATCGGCTTGGCTGCCTTGCTCTTGGCCGCCTTCGCCGTGTTGACCTCCTGCACAGGGTCGATGCACGGGAAGTCCTTGGCGATCTCCCGCGGCACCTGCTGCTCGAGGCGAACCCTTTGGTCCTTTAGCTGGTCCCGGCACGCCACGTACAGCCTCATCTTCAGCATTGGCGTGGTTGGTGCCTGGCCCTTGGAGTTCGGCTTCGTCGTCTTGACGAACTTCCTGTATCCACTGCACATAGCCCTTGTCCTCGACGTAGATGGTCTGGAAGTCCTTGATCGCTCCCGCCTTGGCGTACTTCCCGATCGTCATCAGCTCCGTTCCCTTTACGGGCACGCCTGGCTCGTCGTCTTCGTGATCCTCTAGAGCATCCAAGGTTTTGACAGGGATCATTGTCTCCGATCCCTCCTCCAGTTCCGGCTTCAAGGCCTCCACCAGCTCTTGCATCAACGGCGTGGCCGTCACATCGGTCCTCCATGGCATCGCCATCTGCGCGTTCATCTCGGTCACGTCCATCTTGTTGCTTGCCATGCTCGACAGGCACCGGCTGCTGTTCTCTACGTCCCAGGTCTACAGGCTTGGTGCTCACCGCGGCTGCGACGTTGAACTCAGTGACCGCATGGACCTCATTCATCATCTTCTTGGCATCATCATCTCTGTGCGTTCTCGGAGACACACCCAAAATGGGTATGGCATAGTGGCCCCTCTCAGTCTCCTTCAAAGCTATTCTAGCCCCCAACTTACCAACATACAAGACATCATTCTCCATATCCAAAGTAGCCTTCAAACCCCTAAGACATTCCTTAGATAACAAGAGTGGTGTCTCAGCCCCTGCTGCTGGTAGTACAGCTGCCTTGAGTGCTACCAGCCTACCCCCTATACATGCAGGGATCACTACGGCACGATTCGTGCTAAGTTTACCTGCATTGCCAAACCTGAACTCATGCTTTTCCCTAAGATGCTTAACCTTCAGCCCTCTGCTTCCTAAGGCCTCGACTAACCCCTCAAGAACCTTCTCACCTATCAGGGTCCTACGACATGCGGTATCGGGAACTGCATGAGTACACAGATCAGCAAATCCTACAGATGCACCGCTCTCGGCCATATATGCATCGCTCAGACTGTCGGCGTCCGGTGCATTCTCACAAAAATTCTGGAAAAGAAGCCGCTCACGATCAAGGTCCCCCAAAGCGGCGCTCACATCAGCACACTCCAGCTCGTCCTTGCCGGCCACGACGATGTCGACATCGCCCTGGTTCCCCTCCACCAGGAACACATCCAGGGCATCTATCTGGTCTGTGGGGATGAAGAACTCACCCTCCTTGGCCTCATCATCGCCACCATCGGCGATCATCGCGTCCTTGGTCGAGCTTGCTTGGCCCGAAGAAGACGTGTGCCCTCCCTTCCTGCGAGGGCACTCTCTTTTCCAGTGTCCCGTCTGCTGACATGTAAAGCACTTCGTTTTCTGCTTCAGCTGTTCCAACCGGCCCTTTACCGTTCCAGACAAGCTCCACGTGGAATTCGTTGACCTGAATCCACGCCCAACCTTTTTCTGCTGCATCTTGCGCCTGATATCCTGGTACGTCTCCAGCACATCCAGCGCATCTTCTTCATCGTAGTCAGGTTGTCCTTGAATCTGGTCCGCCACGATCTGGAAAACGTCATTCTCCTCATCGCGGCCGTCGGTCTCGGGCTCCTCGTTGTCAGCGGTGTCCTCCGCAGCATATACATCCTTCGCACGACTAGCTGCTGCACCACACTGCCCTCTTGGAAACACAGCTTTCACAGCCTTTGCCACCTCCTCGTACTTCAGACCACCCTGCGTCGCAGTCAGTACCATCGCCTCAGAATTCCGGTCCAGGCTAAGCTTCCTCAACAGGAACCATCCCTTCACCTCATCTGGCAATGTGACTTTGACTTCCTGCAGGTTCCGGTAGGCGGTCTCCACACGGATCATCAAGTTCCGGTACGTCTCGCCTGGCTTGATCTGGGTCTTAAAGAAGTACTCGTTGAGGTATTTCTGCAGAGCGTCTGTCTCCAGGTCGCCATAGCGAGCATCCAGCAGATTGAAAATCAGCTTGTGCCCGCCCTCAGACATGACCTTCTCGATCTCGACGCCATCTGCTACCTCCTCGGCTTCTCCTTGGAGGTACTCGCAGAGTTTCGCTCCCCACTTCTCCTTGCCGATTGTCGAGGGAAGTGCCATGAGCATCAACTCCGCTTTCCTTCGCCACTTTCGGTAGGCCGCCACATCTGACCCGTCAAAGCGGTCTAACTTCGGTCTCTCATCTTCCCGGTTCGCAGCACTCATCTATCCAACAGCAAAGTTCTCGCGCTCCTCAGCACCTCACTCGTCGCAAAGTGCTTCCGAAGCTCCGCTACCACCTGTGCAAACCAAAGCGCACAGGCGGCCGCTAGGCGATCCACTTTTCCATCAGAGCAGCACTGGTACACATGGGACGACAAGGGGACCTTTGGTCCGAGACGCCGTCGGTTCCGTTAACGCACAGCCATCCTTCAGCACACTGTTGAGTCTTCATGAAGGATACATGGATGGTGTATGCTTCTTGCACTCACATGCACTCCTTTTCGCAACGAGTCACTGTGGAACGCTTTTGTCTTAGCGGGTGGGACGGCCCGGAAAACGCAGTTGCTGAACTGGGCTGAAGCCAAGATTCGGGCTCCCTGATGCACAGCCATTCCTCGGAGAATCTTGATTCGGATACACTCAAACTGTTTCCAAATCCGGGTGGGGAACCGGGCTGTGATCGTACGAACGGAACCTGAAGCACTGCAGAACCGGACATGGCAAACTGTATGAATCACTATGTTCAGTATCTGCCGTTCTTGATTGGGACGCCGTCTGCACCAAGACCAAGAGTGCATGCCCAAATACAGCGATTCAGAGCAGCGAGACATCCGTTCGCTGACCAATCCGGAACCGCCCGATGCAGAAATTAAAGAACTTAGCAACTAGTGCGATGCAGCGAAGAGATTCAAGCCCTGAACTCATCAGCCCGTTTGTCTGATACCGTGGTTCGATGCACAATCACCACCCACAACAAACAAAGTGGGCACATGTGTATGCATGGCAATCACAGAAAGTGCTACCTTTGCCTTTGCCTTTCAGTCTTCACCTTCGGGTTCGCTACTCTTTCGGGAGTGTTGTCGATGCTGTCACGGTTGGGCACTCTTCGTGTCTGCCCAGGCGCGCTCTCGAGGGCTTCGAAGGCTTCGGGGCGGTGTTCGGGTCGAGGCTCCAACAGCCACAGCCTTTGAGAGTTTATTGGTTGAGGCATGAGGGTTCAGTGTCGAGTGTAAGGCATTTGAAGCTTCGTTCTTAAGCTTAGGTTTGTGCCTGGGCCCTTCTGATGAAAAGTCTCTCCTCCATGCTCCGGCAATGCTTCTTTTGCCAGGCCAGAAGCTTTTTGTGAGCAGAGTCTGGAGCGTCCCTGCTTGTTTGGGAATGCTGCTCCCCAGACCTTGATCGGATAGGAAAAGTGCTGGTGACGTTACCTCCTGAACGCTTGACAGATGCGATCACATTTGAGATCTTGGGACCTCGATTGCTTGGCAAAAACTCTGTACATGAGGATCGAAAGCGCCGCAAACCGCACTGATCTACACCAATTCTGGCATGGCAGGAACTGCCCGAAATCCGCAAGTCTTTCCAAAGTTCACGGTCGGGGGTTCCTGAAACTTTGACTCAACAGAAAAGCCCTGAGAACCTCACTTCTGAAGTTGCAGAGACCCTCGCGAGTGCATGCGAGTGCTAGGTTGCAGACGTGCCGCGCGGCTTGGCTTCGTGGTCAGGACGGATTGCATACAGAAATAATCTGGAATAAACTCCCAAACACCCTTCTCCAAGCATTAGTTAATGCCTTTCCACGCGGTAACATGGGGACCTTCGAGCAGCCGGGAAGCAACAGATCGCAGGCTTCGTGGCTGCGAAACATCCTTTTGCAGGGGTTGCAGGCTTCAAACCAGCATGGACTGATGCCAGCTAGGTTAGGATCTCGTGTAGCTAGCACCAGAAATGAGATCTCCATGCCTGTAGTGCCCACTGCAGCTGATTTTTCGAGCTTAGCCCAAGTTGCGGCTGGGATCCGATAAATAACAGCAAGGCAACCCAACAAGGATCTGCAGTGAGGATGGGTAGGTCAGCATCGCCTCTTGGAGTTAAGGTCTCCTCTTCAGATCGCACTAAACCAAACTCTGATGTTCGAAGCTCAGCTTCGGGGTGTTCATGGGCTGTGCTTCCCCTCCGTCCCTCAGATTCTTCTACGTTTCGTCTATCCATGCGGCCCAGCATCCGCAGCGTCTCCGGTTCGATTGAAAGCCTCGGCAACGAATTGGACTTACAAAAGGCTGCACACACAAGCAAAGCTGGCTTATGTACGCGAGTGTATGTATCTTAACTGTGCGAAGCACTGAGCCGGCTACATCGATCGAGAACTATGGGCTGGAACGATTTCGGTATAACTTTCTGAGAAACAACAGCAATCAGGGCAGAAGAGAACTCCGGCCGAAAATCTACCAAGCGAGAACCCCCACCCGGCCAAACTTCCGACATCCAAGAGCCTTCCATCTCTGGTGGCGAGCTCGGTAAGAAGCGGCGTCTCGTGAAGAAAAGGCTGGCCTCCGGTAGACTTCCATGAGCTCTCCGGCCACCAGGTGATGTGGGGAGTCAATTTTGCAAAATATACTGAAGATTACTGAAGTTAGCAAACATTTAAACAGTATTGTCACTGTCCACGCAGGACAGGCAACAACGCACAGGGTGCGCTTCTACAAACAACACGTCTAAGCGGGTGCCGTCATGATCTGGAACAGGGTGCTCTTTGTCAGCAGGATGTAGAGCACCACTCCCAATGCAAACAGATCCTCGGCAGCACAGTGCAGGGCTGCACGCGCTGTCGGGGATTAAGGGGGTGTTATCGAAGCCCCCAGATTCGGAGCGTCCAGAAACTCTTTACGTAGTACGCTCTGGCACGGTGAGGACTGCTGACAAGGCTCTGTCGCCTTGCTGCCCTTGTGGCTGCCATAAACTTCTGGTGCCAGGTAGCCTCGGTCAGCAGGATTCGGTGTCGGCTCTCTTGATTGGCCACGATCTTCAGCGACAAGCAACTTTTCGTTGCAGGACTCCAAAGCCAAGATCAACACCTCAAGAGGTGCTGTAGTACATGGCTGAAGCAAAGGCACCTGCAGTCCCACAATTCCAGGCCATCTCGCAGCTATCATCAGGCAGACATGCAGCCTCGGCTGCAATCAGCTCTATCCCTCAAACCTGGAGCCTCTATGTGAGGCGCCTTAGTAACTAAAATGCGGTCTTGGGGTGCTTTGTAGCTTTGACTCAGGAACCCCGGTGAACTACATGTTTGTTCAGGCGCCAAAACTATGTTGGAAAAGAGCTTCTGTTAGCACCGGGCGCAGTGGACAGCAAGCATTCCGTTTTGTTCAGGACTCTGGACCCAAACTGTCGTCGGGGTTGAGGCGCGCTGGGAGTCAAGGCTTTATAATCATTATAATCAAGCTGACTGGGGCTCTGGTAGTCCCAGGCTTACGTATAGCGTACAAATATGTACCAATCATGTTGGAAAAGTCTAGAGCCAGGGCGACATGCAACCCCCGGTCCCTACATGACACAGGAACCTCACAGCATGAAATCGAGGGACCGCATGCGGATTTCCATCAGGGAGCCGTGTAGAGCCGAACAAATATGTCCCAAGCTAGGGTTTACAAACCCCAACACCCGGACTTGCATGTGGGAGACAAGGTCGAAGTCGCCCAAGATCACGCGGAGGCCACCATCGGAAACCTTTCGGCATGTCCCGTTCCCTTACCTGGAGAACCCATCTCCTGCTTTTGGAGGGTCGTATACGAGGCATAAGTTTGTCTTCCGAACAACCAAAGTGTTACTTGGAGCTTCCTCGCTGCGTTTTCAACCCTGGTTGTGCCCTCTCCGACCCAACGCAGCCTCACCCTCCACAGAACAAGGTGGAAGGGCAATGGTCATGGAGACTTCCTGCTTAAACTACTTGCAGATCCCGATCTACGAAACCTCTGGTTGGGCAACAACACCGAGGAGGCCCCTTTTCTAGCTTTCGTTGGGGGCACGAGGGAAAGCAAAGTAGCCATGATGTTGGCGGTCTTGATGTCGCGATGCATGATGCCTGGCTCCAAGAGATTCTGCGAGAGGAGCCAGTGCCAACAACGTGGACCAAGCTTGACTCTTGTAGAACAGCTAAGGATCTCACACTTCGGGCGAAACATTCGATATGACTGCTAGCCGTTCTCACGTCGGACGGGCTCGGGGCCAAGGATGGATCCCGGTCGCGAAAAGAAAGAGCCCTGTCACATGCAGCATGCATGTTGCTTGCCCCTTCTGCCGTTCAGTGTCGCAGGCATTTGGTCGCAGGAATTTTCTCTTCACGAGAACGATGCTGCAAACGTGCAGGAGCCTGAGGATCTCATAATCAAATTCCCATCTAAATCCTGAACTGGGAACTGGGCCTGATCGCCTGCAACCTGTAGAACTCCTTGTCGGCATCCGTTTACACCCTCATGGGACCCTGATAGAAACCCTACAGTGACCAAAGTCCTCTTTTCGCATCTTGCGAGGCCCAGTTGCCAAGGGCATGGAGATGCATGAGCCCGCAAAGCGCCGAGTGCAGAGCAAATGCAGCTTCTGACTCCTGCGCTTCTTTCGCTCCCCGACGATGCAATGCCCCCGGAGAGTCCAATACCGCCAATGCCCCTAAACTACAGGAATATCCAGTAAATCGTGCCCTATTCAAGCCAGGCTCCTTGAAAGAAACGTGCTCCACCAAGTCGTGGAGGGTGCAGCAGCAAAGTTCCTGTGCGCTGAAGCTTGAGCGGGAGGCATCTTATTTGTTGATGACGCCGACTACAATGGTGGGCTGCTTAAGCAGCTTTGTGTTGACCTCGAGTGGGGATGTGCCATCCTTGGCACGCCGTGTGACCGTGAGGGACGTGTCGCTCCAGAGGGGGATGTAGGGAAGCCACAGAAGCCCAACCCGGCCTCGAGGAGGAAAAACCCCCGGCCGGGGGGCGTCTCTACGATTGCCTCAGCTTGTCGGCTGAAGGAGTTTATGGTCTTTAGGCTTTAGGGTTGCTTTGGGGAAGCCTTATAGGCAGCTCTTCGTGAGGTAGGGCGGCTTCTAGTCAGCGTGATGATCAGTTTGAGCATTGGATGCAACTCAGTTGCAGTCTTTGATGCCCTGTGGCTGGAGGTCCTTGCAAAAAATCCGCGAAGTTTGGGTTGCACATCCAGATCCACCTGGCTTCGAAGGGCTCAGCAAGCTTGCATGGCCCTGACCCCACAACCCCAACATGTTAGCGACCAGGTCGGCAACCCCTCCCGAAACGGATGTCAAGAGCCACCTCTCCAGATCTGAGATCTGCCCCACCTCGAAGAGACCGAAGCATTTGAGGATGTACCGGTTGCCAGAAGCCAGCTTGAGCATCGTCGCCTTCACAATTTGGATTTTCAGGCTGACCAATGGTGGCCTTCCGTCGAGGCTAGAGTTCGGGAGACTCCTGTACCTGCGCCTTTCTGAGGCTCCGAGTTGAAGTCGGGGTCCCCCAATTTGTCCCGTGCTTCCCTCCTGGTTTGGCTCCTGCCTCCCAGAGGCCCAAGATCCCTTACTAGAAGTCACGGAATTCGGGGGAAACGATCTTAGTCACTGGAAGGACGATGGAGAAATCATACTGAATACTGAAAGCCCTGAGGGGAAGTTTCTTCAAGAGGTAAATGGGGGTTTGGGTTCCCGCCTCTCGAGGCAGCTCGTGGGGATCCCTGCAGCCATCCCGGTGTTCATCCCGGTGTACAATGAACTTCGCCTGACGCCAAAACTTGAGACAAGGCCTTGGTTTTGCTGGGGAAGGTTCTGAGATTGGGCGATCTGTGGCGAAAGGAGGAGATGCAGTTTGACGTTGCCATATATGCACGAAACAGTTCCCAAAACATCATTTCAATTAATCGTCGCGCCCTTAGCGCTCGAAACCAGCTGAATTAACATCTTTAGCTCTTGGATATAGAGTTGCGAGATTTTTCGAACATCTCGGAAGGCTCCGGAGACAACCATGCGGCGAGCGGCGCGAATCCCCCGCCCTTGCTGAGGGCCGGTCGACAGAGACTCCAAGCCACTTAATGACTTAATTCAGGATCCTTTCTTGCGGGGCTTTAGAGCGTCGCACCAAAGCTGAGGTGAGTGCTACCCGCGAGTTCAAGGATCCGGGGGACGAAGGAAGTAGAGGGTTGCATTGGATTGAACCCTTCTCATCAAGCAGGAATGCAGGAGAGCAGCGGCGAGGGGCCGGGACTGCTCTGTGTCGTCAGAATCCGTGTCCGCAAGGCGAAGCCCATAGACGACCGAGCATGCTCCCGTCCTGCGGCTGGAGGCTTGGTGATTGTGGTTTGTTACTCGGACTTCTGGTCCTTTTGCAGCTGCCGAACTCACTGGAACGCCACTACGCTTTGACAGACCGAAAGTGCAACAACAACCAGGCTCATCAAGAAAGACTCTGCGTGCATACTGAAAGCCTATCTGGTGAAGCTGGAACTCACCTTCGCGCCGCCAAAAAGCCTTGCGAGGTCACCCTGCATAAAGCGTATGCTGTTTGTCACCCTGTATCTCTTGCAAAAACAATTTCCGAACCAGCAAGGATCTAAAGGCCGAGCTAACTTGAAGCCGCAAAGTCTACATCCCAACCCGTTTAGCCCAACCTGTGTTAAGATAGATTCCTCTCCAAGGCACTCCTTAAAGGTGTCGGATAGTATTGGCCCCTCTATAAACAGAAGGTCCCCAGCTTGTCTGCGATGTCCATTGTGAAGGATGCCATTTCCTGCCGGCACTGGGGAGTAATTCGAATAGTTTACCTTGGTGTTTTTGGTGTTGTAAACTGTAGAAGGGTTGTAGAAGGGGATACTGTTCCAGGGAAAGAAACATCTCACGGCTCCTGCATGGATTCTGAACTATTCTCAATGCACTCCTGCCCACAGTTTGAGGCCGGAGGGAAACCCTTGCAAACAAAAAAGAGACGAATCCCCACCTGGCTTTGGACGTCGCTTTGAAGTCGCCGACGGGCATCGAAGTGGATCGTCGCCAGTTTGACTTCTTCCAAACCGCATGCCATGCCCGCCACACATCTACACGAGGTAGACGAAGAGGTTCGAGCGCAAAGGCGCAGGGCAGGTCTGCGGGAATGTGGGCTGGAAAGTTGGTTGGAGAAATGAAAGCGCTCCCACTCAACAGCTTTCGGGGAATGCACGAACGGCACTTCCTCTAGTCCCGCCAGAAATCGTAGCGCATCCTAGAGCTCATCTGTTTGCCAAGTGGGTATGGGCGGCTGGGCTACTTCGGCGACATCCTTGAGACGTGGGGCGGCGTATGGGCTAGGTTTGCGCTCATTTCCCAGCGGGCAAACTTCATATTGCGTTGCAAACTAGCACTAGGACTCATACTGCTCCGGGTTCTGAGTAGGAATTTCAGCTGCAGGCTGCTTTCCGCGACATAATATGTAGGTCCTGTTGATTTGTGCTGAACTCGGCCGGGCATTAAACCCGCGGAAAGGACGGATCCTTTGTTTCCAGCATTGCAGAAATTTCCTCAAGTCCTTGGGTGAAGGAATAAGCCCCAAAGCCCCAAACACTTTTGAGCATGCTTGTATACGCTTATTCAAACTCGGCCCGAAATCCTTCAACGGTGCCGCCGAGACGCATGGGCAGGGCATACCTCTCTGCCACCGCCTTTGTTGTCACGGGGGCCTACACCTACGAGTTCAACAGGGGTCTGAAGCCCCGTCCCTAACATCGCCTGTTTTTTTGTGATATACCTCAAAATTGACCAACATCCTCCATCGTTCTTCAGGGGCCCCTATAGTCCCCTCTCCCTTTTTTTGCGGCCGGGCCAAGGCGCCTTGAAGACTGCCAGCGTCTCTCCTCGCCGAGGCGAGGCGCTTCCGCTGCGGGTGACTCGGGAAAAAAGAGATGCTTTTAAGTTCCAAAGGATCCATCTTGAGTGTTGGAGCTGAGCTTAGCGTCCTCTCAGTTGAGCCCCACGACCCTGTCCTTCCACAGTTACGTCACTGGAGTAGCCGTTGAAGCAGGCACCCCACCTGAGAGTGGAAGAGAAACTTGTGCAAGTGGATGCCGCAAACTGAGATTGAATACCATTGCGACTTCAATTCGGGAACTCAAGATTTGACTGATCAGATTGCGAGTTTGTCGCATTCCGGCAACAGCTACCAAAGGGATCCGAACATAGCAAAAGCAACCACGGTCCCTCGTGTATGTATACCATACTCGCAATGTCCAAAGGACGCCAATCGACGCTAAGCTCTGCAAGGTTCTAAGGAGCCAGACATGTTGATTGATGCTAGGGGGGGTATCTCTTACCGCCTACTTACTAGCTACCCAAGGAGCCAAACTTCAAGTCAATTCTGTCTGACGCTGCTGGTCCAAATTACCCCAACAACCTGATATGATATGGTACAACATCCGCAAACCCGATTATTAAAGTATTCAGACCCTCGAGATGAACTCCTTGCCAGAGCGGCAAAGCTCCACGGAGCGAGTGGCGCGAGGGGTCTTCAGACTGGAAGGACAAAGTCTCCTGCCGGCAATGCAAGGTACCTGCGATGTAAACCTGAAGCAATAGAATCTGTGTTAGCCAAACGATGAAGATGCCCAAGCTAGATCTTCCAAGCTGTTCATGGACTCTGCTCTTGTCGACGCTCTGCATGCGGGAAGCCCCTGGGGCTATGACGCCCCCATCACATTCAGATGCCGCGTTCCGTGTCCGCTATCTGTAGCCGAGTAGGACACACCTATTCATATACTATTTAGCTAGGCGTTCGATGTTGCATATATCAACAGCTGGTTAAATAGACCCTAAAGGTATATATATATATATATATACATAGAAAAATAAATATATACATATGTATGTATGTATGTATGTATGTATGTATGTATGTATGTACGTATGTATGTATCTAGTCGTATATATATATATATACACACATATGTATCAGCTTGGTCTACGGAATCGCTAAACGAGGCCTGGAACCACGAGCAAGAGCTCTCAGGGCGGCATTGGGGAAACTGTCTAGGTGAGGAGTGAGGTGTCGCAGTGTCCTTCAGGCGACGTTGCAGAATGCCTCGGCATGTCCCAAGCAACTAAGCCCATTCACGGGGGGGCTTCTGTTATCTCCCGAAACGAACTCGAGTACTCGAGCTGCTGCATTGCTTCCGTTGAAAACTGACCCTCCGATGTGCCAAGCTAAATCGTAGCAATGCGTTGAACTCAGCAGTAAACAAACACCACAAGCAAGTCCTAAGCCATGGTCATGCCGCCCGGGCACCTAAAGCTTCGTCACGAGCTGGTGGCAGCTCCTAAGCTTGTCCATACAAGACTGTGCAGGAAGCACTGACACAAGTTCCCGAGGTGGGACTTTGCTGCGCTGAGCTGTAGAGTGCTAGCAACTGAAACATGCAGCAGCCGCTTGAGGCGGCTTGGTAACTCACTTGCAGCCGAGTCGCACGTGGCTCAGGAGCTCTGCAGGCCTTCTCAGATCGCGCTACGGCATGTGGGGTTTCCCAGGTCTCTGGACGAAGAGTTACGGTCTCGCCTCATAGGCATCGAAAAGGTCCGATGCAATCGGCGAGTAACCTTGGACCAACCAATCCGGAAACTACGCCAAATCAAACACTGCCTGTCTGAAACCCGAAGATTGAAGCTGGCCAGTGTGATGGAAAGACATGCAGGTGCTGGAGGACTAAACATTGTACGAACTGTGTTGTTTTGAAGCACTCTCTACTACGGCTCGGGCTCACTCTATGATCCCGAAACCTTGGTTTTCTGCACAAAGGGTCTTCGTCTTGCATCTGGTGTGCCTGAGCCGAGTCAGAGACAAGCCTCCCCAAGACAGTCTTCGATAGAATGAGCCACTGAATGCGCTGAAGACTCGTGTGCACACCTGGGCTTCCAACTCCGACGTGCTGTCTTTCTACAGCAGGAATCAAATGCATCCACGCTTCTATGGCACACATCGCTGTGGTGCCGGATATGCTCTGTTCCCGCCATGGAGAACGATGTGGCGAGTTATCCCGGAGTGCTTTTGGCAAGCAGCAGTAACCATCTCCGAAGGCATGATAGCACTGCATCATGACCTCAGTGGCTCGAGATCCGTCCATAGCCCAGTCTATCAACGTCTCCGACGAAAGACTGTGCTTTGGATCGTCAGTCGTGAAGGAAAACGAGGATAAGATCGCCATCGTAAGATCCAACAAGGGTAAATGATGGTTGTGACAATGGCACTTGTGGGTGTTCACGATCCAGGCTATGCAGGCATGCTCGCAACCCTTCGACCGATGACTCCGGTCGAGGCTGTCCGGTAAGGAATCCGGGCGGTCATCATCTTCATGGGCGTTTCGGCAGCTGGCTGCGACAATGGAAGCATGTGTCAGAGTGTCATATGGCAGCAAATGAAGGCATCGGCGATTTTCGGAAGGGGCTCGTCGTTACACTTGACACTTTGAACTATGCCTCCGACATCTCGAATCGAAGAGAAACTGTACGGAAGGCCAAGCAACGAAGGAGATGGTGTCGAGACGGTCGTAGTGTTGAGGAATCCTGCGTGAGAACGAACAAAGCGAGCCATTTGCAGCCCACACGCACAGCCCGCACCGACCCGACACCGCAGTTATTGCTAGCTTAAGATGTCTTAGCTCGCAGAGGCAACCTGCTGGCTGAAAAGGTGAAGGGCTCCACGCCAGGCCTGGGCTTGGGCTCACTGCTTCTGGTTGGGATGGGCTTTAGCATGCAGAGGTGGTGGTGGGGTCAATGCTGTGTTGGCTAGATGATGGTTCAGCTAATTCAGCAATGCAGCATGCAGCTGCAGACTGTTTTTCCTGGTGGGGTGCCTTGACTGAGCCTTCGTTCAGCAGTGAGTTGTCTGGAGACACTGTCGTCTGCTACGCAGTACTACCGCCACCACCACCACCGCCGCCACCATCACGTATACGACGACGACCAGTACCGCTGCTACTAGTGCGAGATTTATGCCTAAAAACCGTCGGGAATATTGATTTCGGATATTGGCTGCTGTTGTGAAGAGGATCCAAGAACTAGCTTCCGTCACAGGAAGGAGTCCGAATCAAACTGTCGATTGCTCCAAACATTCAAACCCTTTCGAGAAATTCGGACTCGCCCTGAAAACACATCCCAAATTCAACTATATCTCTTCCGAACAACCCTACAATGTGTCCGCAGAGCTGCCAATCCAAGTACTGATGAAAAGCCATGGTTCCGCTGAACACAACTTTACGCAATGTACTGCCATGCGTTGAAAACGGGAAAGGGCGGAAAAGCCAACAACGATTCGAGTTGCGTGTCCTAGTGGAAGCAATGAATTAGTTTGGCATCTACCCTGGAAGCGTGTCTCCCGACTCGCTGCTAGCACATAGTCTCCTCAATCCATCTCCGTGGCAATCGTCTTAAGCCGGGCAACGCGGATTGCCACCAGACCTGCATCTCTCCCGGAGCGACGACCCGCAACCACACCTTGGACGACACGGGTAAAAAGCCTGAATAATGCTGTAAATAGACCCCAAGTAGGGAAGTGTTCTTGCTGGTCTTCGACTTTTGACCGATCAGACTTGCTCAGGTGGTGGCTGAGCAGGAAGCAGGCCTATACATCGGTGCGAGACTGGTGCGAACTCAACGTCGTTGCGCTATGTACTATGTGGGATTGGCAGTCCACACGGACGGGGCCGAGAAGCCTCGCAGACTCATAGTGAAGCCCTGCGAGAGAACTACCTCTCCCCTGAGCGCTGGGCGCTCACCCCAGAACTAAAGACGAGTGGGCCCGAAGGCATCATTTGCCAAGAGTGTCATAGAGTCAAGTACATAAAGTCATACAGTCAAGTGCACAGTTTGAGTACATAGAATCCAGTGCATAGAGTCATCAAGTACATAGTCCAGTGCATAGAGTCAATTACATAGAGTCATATAGTCTAGTTGCATAGAGTCTCGTTGTGCACTTATTTCGATGTACTTCAATCTGTGTACTGTGGTAAATGCGCTTAACTGGATGTACTTCAGTCTATGTAGTATGCACTTGGCAAGTGCATACTTCACTTTGTGTAACTCCTGTATCGCAAGTACAACCGTAGTTGCTTCGTGCGCTCGCTGAAAAGTAGCAACTTTAGCACACGTTCGTGCGCTCGACCATGCCAATCCCCGTAAATGGTTGTGCGGGACGCCTAAAAGTAGCAACTTTACTACACGTTCGTGCGCTCGACCACGCCAATCTCCGCAAAGGGTTGCGCGGGACGCCTAAAAGTAGCAACTTTACCTCGATCGCGTTCGTGCGCCTGACCACGCCAATCCATGCAAACGGTTGCGCGGGACGCCTAGAAGTAGCAACTTTACTTCGCGTTCGTGCGCCTGACCACGCCAATCCATGCAAACGGTTGCGCGGGACGCCTCGAAGTAGCAACTTTACCTCGCGTTCGTGCGCTCGACCACGCCAATCCACGCAAAGGGTTGCGCGGGACGCCTAGAAGCAGCGCGTTCGTGCGCTCGACCACGCCAATACACGTAAAGGGTTGCGCAGGAATGTCAAAAGTCGCAACTTTACCTCGCGTTCGCGCGCTCGACCACGCCAATCCATGCAAAGGGTTGCGCGGGGTGCCCAAAAATAGCAACTTTACCCTGCATTTGTGCGCTCGACCACGCCAATCCATGCAAAGGGTTGCAATCCCGATCGATGGCATCGGCGCCGCCCCGGCTTCAAAAAGAAAGATAGATGCACCGAGATGTAGATAAGTCGGGTACTCGATGTACTTCACTCTGTGTACTTGGCTCGATGTACTATGTACATCACTCTGTGTACTATGTACTTGGCTCGATGTACTTCACTCTGTGTACTTGGCTCGATGTACGATGTACTTCACTCTATGTACTATGCACTTGACTCGATGCACTTGGCTCGATGTACTTCACTCTGTGCACTTGACTCTGTGTACTATGCTTGCATAGTACTCGTGTACTTGATCCTATGTTCTTGTCTCGAGGGCTTCGCACGAAAGAACCCTTCGCGATGCTTTCGGGAAAAAAGCTAAAAGCTGCCACGGCTCTCCGGCACTGCCCAAACGTCCGGCCAGCAACGGACGACTCCTTGGCAAGAGCTTCGCAGTCAAAGTGGGATAGGGTTTCGCCAAAAGGACCCTGCTGCGGACTTCCGCTCTGAAAGCTTGTTCCTGAACCTGCGACACTGCATCCACGCCGAATGCTGCCCAAAAACATGTTCCCTTACCTCCACTTCCTTCGGCTGCCATCCTGAACCCCAAAACCAAGCGACTGAGCCCTCCTCACCTTGTACTTGTACCACGAAGAACGTGCATGGTCACAGGATGCCAACTCCAAGTGCCACTGACACCCCGTAACAACAAGAGAGAGATGATACTAACTGCGAGTAACAGTAGCAACAGTAGTAGCAACGGTGGTGTTTTTCCTGTCGCGTCCCAGTAGTAACTTCCAGTAGTCAGTAGCATGTGCAACTGTAGCTGCGGTCTTCGTCGTCGTAGTAGGAGGAGTAGGAGTAGTAGTAGTGGTAGTAGTAGTGGTAGTAGTAGCAGCAGCAGTAGTAATCGTCGTCGTGGTCGTCGCAGTTGTTGTCGTCGCTGTTGTTGCAACCAAGTACCTATCAATCATTGACCGTCAGCAGCACCAACACTAAGAGCATCCAACAGCACGGTCTGCAGGTTGGCCGCATGACCGGTGGTGGCGGACTTCGGGGATCCTCGGGCGCACGGAGCACGGCGGCCTCGAAGAAGCATGCAACCCGACGCTTTAGTCATGGGGGTTTGGGGTTGCAGTGTTTAGCCCTGTAGGGTTGAGGGGTTTTTGGGCTTAGGGTTTTGGGGCTATCAGGGATTAGGGTTGCAGGGGTTTTGTGCAGGCTAGTGTAGCGGCTAGGCTAGTGAAAAGTACAGTAAGCAATTAAACCTAATCATAACGATGGGCCTGGCTCTTTGGAACTCTGGCATGATAGCATGACGAAGAAGAAGAGCAAGAAGGGGAATGAACAGGCTGCTACCGGTGACAAATTCCGAACCAAATGTCGTGAGTTGGGACTCGGGATTGGAGGAGCTGTTCTTTCCCGGTGTACGGGCGGAAGTCTGCATTCGGAGCTGCTCGTATCTGTGGATGCCTCCAGCACTCCCTCTTCATGTGACACGAACATGCTAGCTTCCACAGCACTGAGATGCTGCGAAAGGGAACACACGACAAGGCATGGCCTGCCAGCGCTGCGAATCCACATAGACCTGGACGCTTAGGGCTTGAGGCTTGGGTGAGCGCCAAGAACACCCTCATTCTCCCTAAGCTAACGTACCCTGCAAACCAATTTGCTGCCAAGCCCACAAAACCGAACAATGAACAATGGGACCACGCCTCTTTTGTGACCTTCCGTTATTCTCACGGCACATGCGCATGGACAGTGTTGCAGCTTTGGTGTGTGCTGTCGAAGTGCTACGATCAAACCTTTCTTAGTCTTAGTCTTGCTTCTGTCCCCAAGAAGACACACAGGAGTCATCTCCACCCTATACGATTTTCCAAGGTAGGGCTCGTCCGGCTGCAGTCAGGGATCCAGATCCCCTCCATCTACCCGGACGATGGAGATGTGTCCACCTGACCCGGGGCAGCGCACGGAGCTTTGGACGGTTTCTGGTCGGCAACCTTGCTCGTTTTCGGCCACAACTTGGAGAAACTGGTACCTGACCCAAAGGTCGGAGATCCCAAAGGACTACATTGGGTCCAGGTGGAACTTTCCGAGCCGAATGTCGGTTGTGCTGCGCTGCCGCCTTGGCAGTCCCATACCCCTTCGAGCGCCACGTTCAGCTGGAGAAGCGTCACTTCGAACCTCCGCAAATCTGAGTCTGCTGTAAACTTCTTCGAAGCTCCTTGCTCCAGTCCAAGCCGAGAACCCTGTGCTCGTAAGCCGAACGCCTGAACTCTGGTCTGAAATTTAAACCAGGGAGCGGTGGTTTGGTCAAATGCCAGCCTCAGCACCGTGCGATTGGGGCGAGGTTAGTTGAGGCCGGTTAGCCATCGGAGGAGTTACCTGTGTTGCCTGTGCTGTGCGATGTGGGCATTCTCTTGCCCGCTGTTCGCTGCTGCCAGGACAATCGGACACCCGGACAGCCCGGCCCTGGACACATGAATTTACTCCCTGCCCATGCTCCAACCCAAAGAAAGGTACTGGAAGAAGGCTTCATGAAGGGGCCCGCAAGCTACTGAAGCACGTCTGATTCCTGCCAATGAACACTTCGGACCTGAAAAGCTCGGGCCTGCCACGAGCTACACTACGCCGGCTAGGAGAGATTTGCAGGCCTCGGCTCTGCAGGTGCCTCTCCAGCTCACTTTGCCCTGGAAGACAAGGACAAGGAGTCGGGAAGGAATGTGGGAGCTTGCGGGTCTGACCATGCCAGAATCCTTCGGGCTTGGGTTTCAAGACATCAGGCTTCGCTTGCTTGGAATTTGGTCTCAACTTGGGGGCGGCATTGGAGCTTGCCAGCTGGTCCAAAATTCGATGCCTTTGAAACCCATCGATTGAGCACTGAAACTTGCGACCCACAGGAGGAACTGGAAAGAATCGCTTTCAAACCTTCAGCCCGGCTCTGAATATCGGGGGTGGCCTGTGAACTCCAGGACAGCAAAGGGGACCGCTGTGTCCTTGCTGGATTCAACATGGGGCCTCGGTTAACAGGCACTCGAGGTCAAACTTGGCTACTCCTTGCAAGTCATATACGATCTGATAGATTCTGGGTGGTCTGCACAAGCCCAGGCCCAAATCCTATAAACGAGGGCCCATCAATCAGCTGCGGAATTCTGATGTGCAGGATTGACGCTGCTTTTTTCTGTCACCGAGGTCAGAGTGCACACCTTCGGAGAGAAAACCCGAACAGTTTGAGTCTGTCCTGAGCATCTCGCACCAACCGTGGGTAAAAACGCGAAAAAAGAGGGTTTGCCGGAGCAATAGCTCGACTAGGGCTTCAACCAAACTGTGTTGCTAAATATTGAGGCTCCCCGCTTTACGAATCTGATCGAAACCCCTCTCTGGGCCTCGGGCACATCGACTGCCACCCGTGGCCAGCAGCGGAGAAGCAAAGCACCGATGGCCGATCGGAGGCTGCAAAAAGGGAAGTCTTGGGGTTCTGAAAGACGGGTACCTTCTAATGAGTCTCAAGCGGAGTTACAGCCACGTGTATAACCAGGACCCTACTCCAGTGTGTAGATCAGCGTCCCTCTCATGTCTGAAACTTGGGTAGGGAAGATTGGAGTTCGATTAGAGCCCTTTTGCCTCCTCTGGCCCCTGCAGAGGAGTTCGGAGTTCAGGCTGTAAGGTATGAAAACATCGACAACCCATCAACCCGTGTGATAGGCCTGATTTGCAATTTCTTTTCCAACGCTGCTTGTGCGAACGTACCCGGCCGAAACTTCGCAGGGCTGAATCAGGCAGTCAAGTCGCCGCTGCCTCAAAGCAGAAGTTGCCCTCCCAGCCATGCCTTGCGGGTGTCTTTGGTCCCAAGATCGCGGCGAAGAGGGAGGCGCAGCTGAGCCTGGGGGAAGGCAGTTGTACCTTACTTTTGTAGTAGCGTTCTTATATTCAATATTTCTTTGAGAGCATGGTTCAGACCAGGACCCGGCAGGTCTTAGCTAGGAGCCCTACAACAATTAGGTTCGGGTAGTCATGCAAGAAGGATGGCGGGGTTGCCATTCGTTGCGCTGCAGCTGAAGCAAAGTCCTGCACGAGGCAACAGGGTTGTGCACACCTCTGCCGTTGCCAAAGGGCACGAAGCCGCGCAAGGCCATGGAGTCGATGTTGACCTTCGCTGCATCATGCGGTTCAGGTTTTAAGGCTTCCGTGGAAGCCACCAACCCGGCCGATGACGGGAGAACGCCTGTACATTGACAGGCGACAGCAAAGCTCCCTTTCACAGGTGCTTCTGCTAACCAAACTTCAGCTACCTCTCGAACGGGTCCAAGCGGCTGCTCGCAGTGATGGGTGTCGTTCCAGCAAAGCCTGCCGCAAAGGCTGTTGAGGAGATTTCCAGCCGGGGGCTTCGGAGACAAGGTAAAACGCGGCCTAAATAGTTAGGTTCGTGCAATCGTGAGGAACAAAAACTATTCGCAATTACTCCCGAGCGCTTGCTTTGTCAATGCTCCCAGATAGCAATAACCCAAAGCCCTGCGAGCCCAAGTTTCGAACCCTTGTCGGCTCGACCTGGACTGCTAGGCGCATTGCCGGCACATCCGCTGGCGACTCGGCACGGGCGAGCCACGGACTCCTTCACTGGAGCTTTTAGTGCAGTATGGTATACCCAAGGGTCGTTGGCAGGCATTTCGGGTTGGGGGATACAGTTCTTGTGGACCACCTTGTCCGGGAACGACGGGGGGATCGAGGTTGAACTGCTTGCGGTCTGCCATGTACAACAAGGAGTGTAGGTGTTGTGGCCTCAAAGACGGGAGGAGGAGGAGGAGGAAGAGGAGGAGGTTGCTACGAGGAATGGGGTCCGTTTCCAAGGATGTTTGGTACTTTGCTGCATATCAATCACATGGCTTCGAACTCGTGCGTCCAAGGCGCATTGGTTGAAACTGCCCCGGTGTGAACCAAATCGCATACCTCTGTGCGACGCGTCGGAAGAGCAGACACTTACAGTACATAGAGCTCTCAACACTTTGCAAAATGTCTCCTCATAGCCCCCCGTTCTCGAGATATGTGAAGATGTACAGTATGTAGTAGTGTATTGTTACATCTGCATCAATATCAATATCAAAATCAAGCAATCAATCTATCTACCTATTTATCTAACTACCTATCTACCTACCTGCCTACCTATACCTACCTACCTACCTACCTACCTACCTACCTACCTACCTACCTACCTACCCACCTACCTACGTATCTATCTATCTATCTGTCTGTCTATGTATCTACGTATCCAGCTATGTATCTATCTATGTATCTATGTTTGTATGCGTCTACCTACCTATCTATCTATCTATCTATCTATCTATCTATCTCTGTGTGCACGTATGTATGTGTATATATGTATATGTGTATATATATATATATACACACGTACATACATGCATCCATCCGTCCGTACATACATACATACATACATACTTACATACATACATACATACATACATACACGCATGCATACATGCGTGCATATGCATATATATGTATATATATGTATGTATGTATGTATGTATGTACGTACGTAGGTATGTATGTATGTATGTATGTATGTATGTATGTATGTATGTATGTGTATACTAATGTTCACGCTCTTAAGGCATGTATCGAGACGGCGATGTTGAAGTGGGCACGGACACTCGTGGCAGATGTAGAAACGACAGTGCTGCAGTTTTCTAAGCTGCGATTTGCTTCCCGAGCAGCTCAGCTGTCCCAGCTGGTGCAACTTTCGGTGTAGCGGGCGCAGCCTGCAGGAAGGGTGTCAAAGCCCAGCCATGCCCAAGCAGCTGTCTGCAGGCAAAAAAATCAGAAGGCTGCATCGGGCCTTCACTATGCGAACCAGGCTCTTGAGGTTCGGCGCACGTCGGACCTCGATCGGTGCAGTTGGAGTTCGGGTAAGGCCCGAGACGGTCCCGTTCCAAAAGCCTAGAATTTGGACCAGCCCCCGCGAACTTTCCAACTAAGACATACCACTATGTATCAGATATGCTTATATATATATATATGTAATATGTGTGTGTCTGTGTATGTATGTATGTATGTATGTATGTATGTATGTATGTATGTATGTATGTATATATGTATATGTATATCTGTTGTATCCATAGCCAGAGCGCCATCTCCCCAACAACCGAGGGAATGCAAACTTACAGAACCTCCGAGAAGTTCAAAGGTTGGGCATCGGAGAATTCTGACCCTGGACCAACCAGTGCAAACCCTGAACACATCCATGGCCCCCGTTACGACGCGCTGCAACGCCGTACCCTTGCACGACCCCACTAAACCCTAAACCGTAAACCCCAAACCCCTAAACCCCTAAACCCCAAAAAGGAACCCTTGCAAACTCCGAACAGAACTCGAAATCTTCTCAGCCGTGCGACCGCCTCGCTGCTCACGGCCCGGCCCAGGCTCTGCAGGGAACCGGCGAGCCAGCCAGCCTCGGATTTCGTTTGGTGGGGGGAGGGGGGGTTGCAGGGGGTTTCATAAGCAGTTACAAGGGGCTTCTCGGGAATCTCCAAACCAATATTGTTTTTAAAGCAGGGTGGTAGAAGCCTCTACAGGGGTTTCAGATGTCAGACTTGTAGAGGGTTGAAGGGATCGTTAAAGCTTCAAGGTTTACAGGTTCAGGGATTCGGCCCATGCAATCACTTGACTGCCGCCGGCTTGCGCGCAGACTGTCGAGGCCTTTGAGCGGTGACTCGAGATCGCCCGCCGATGGCATGACTTGCCTCCATGGAGAGTGATGGGTTTGCTCTATGGCTACGTCTCAACCCCCAAACCCTGAAACCACCCGAGCTCTAAACCCCGCAACCCTAAACCCCTGACCGCCCGGACTGAGGTTTGCTCTCGACATGTCGCATGGAGCTTATCGGCCGGGGCAGCCATTGCTGGAGTTTCCACCTTCATCAGCCGTTTCGAGTGACTAATTCACTAGATCACCACTTTCCAGCACAACCCGGGGCGGGTTCAACAACTCAACCTTTCCGAGTCTTCGGGCTTTGGGAGCAGGATTCGGGTCTAGGGATTAAAGTGTATAGGGCTTACGGACTAAGCTGCCAAAGTATTGGATGCCGTGGCGTTGATCCGAGTCACCGAACCAAGTCCACGACGCGCCGGTCGAACGGCCTCAGTGAGGATTACGTAGGGATCCGCGAGTTGGTGAATCAGGGGTCTGAGTCTGCAATGATTAGTGTAGACCCTTGATTCAAATCCACCCTCTTTCAAGGATTTATAGTCGGATGCGCAGTATGGCCCTTATAGGGGAGGGGGTTCATACATAAGGTATCTGCAGGCGCACATGTTTTGGGCCTGGGGTTTATTAGTTTAAGTATTGCTTGCAGGGTTGGGGGCTTGACTCGATAACCTGCAGACGGCCAGAGGGGTAGCTCTCGGCACGGCCCTTTGTGGGTCTCGAAACGAAGCACCTGACCGTCAACAGTAACGGCTCGGAGATTCTCACCTTTCAAGCCCCGAAATCTGCACACCGTAAAGGTACTTCCCCAAATCTCATCCCCTTCCGAGCCGCGGCAAGTCTGGCTCTGTGGCGGCTGCAGAAGCTTCTAAGCCGGTTCCAAGAGTCTCCAAAGCCCAGTCCTAAGCAAACCAAGGGCGCCGGGCTTTCGCGCGTAGGAGTCGGAGTTGGGGCTCTAGGGTATTACAGGGTTTAGGGGTTCAGAGATGTAGGTTTGGGCACACCAAGGCTGGAGTAGGTCTTTCAGTTTCGGAGCCTCTTCGAGTCAGAAAAATATGAAGAAAACTAGCAGCGACGGAGCCAGTGGGCTCTTCAGCCATAGCACCTGTTTCGGTTAACCCTCAGTTCCTTCGAGAGCAATATAGGTCTGAACCATTCGTACAAATTCCGTCTAGTGCTTTTCATATTGCTCCACAATATTCCCCCCCAACGTTTCGAAACCCTAAGGCCCGAACATGTTGGACCTGCCCAATCACATCCATCCAGAAGGTTCAATCGAGCTGTGGGGCTTTGTGAAGCATCAACAGGGTGGCCTTTGCTAATCACAACTACGGTGAACTTATAGACATACACGTACCTACCGGAAGAATCAAAACATAAACCCTACCAGCGATTCAGAAAATGGATGAAGCTTACAGAGTGTCGCAGGCAGACTTGGAGAAGATCACGTCGACACCTTTAGTCGAAGCGGAGTCCCTTAGATGTCAGCGCGGTCTCTCGAATTCGGAGCGTTTTTACAACGATCCCCGCCTCAGTACGGCAACGCGGTGCCCTATGTTACAAACCAATGGGTGCATGCTAGCAAACCGCAAAAAAATCTACTTGAAGTGCAGGTCAGGGTGCCAAGCTTGCCTCTCAGGCGGCCAAGTGCTTCTATCCTGAAGCCCCGAAACTCACTGTGGCTTTGCATCCGACTGGTCCCTGACATGCTCACACAGCACGGTTTTGGCTCACACCGTGTAAGGATGAGAATCATTTAGCCCTGGACCCGCAATGCGTCGGAACCTCCACTTCACCCGCTTCGCATCAAACTTCCTGGCTGGGCCTGCTTTCCCGGATCCTCCACGGCCGAGAGTTGCGAGACGACCCAAAGATCCTGAGTGAGGCTCAAGCTTGATCTGATAAATGCCTTCGAGATTTTTTGGCAAGAAGCGTAGTCCAGGATCTGCTGCTCCTCCTGCGGATACCTCGCAAGTACACTTCGAACTTCGATGAGGGCTGGCCTTGTCTACTATCTCAACTGTTCGCTGGGCCCGAGATCCCGCCAAACTCGAACCTCAAATTACTGCTACGTGTGTTTCGAACTCTTGAGACGGAGGCCAGTCTTTTGTGTCTGCTTGTCCCGGGCTGTTTAGGTAGAAACACCGAGAAGGTGCCGACACTGCAAGCGAAGCTCACCCGTGGCTATGTCGTTGCGAAGCGAGTGTGCCCGTTATGGTAGGCTCTTGTCGGGACATGTGATTCTGATGGTTCTTAAACATAGCTAACCAGATATCAATGCTGTTTTACAGGTACACGCGCAAGACACAACACGCTTGTAAGCACTCCGTCGTAGCTAACTTTTCCACCACTCCTGCAAGATGCATTGGTCACTCGGCGAGTCGCGCGAGAACATCTAGCAAACTCATGGCCGCGGGAGCTCTCGAGCACAGGACAAAGACAGCCGATACACGCGAAGCTTCAGAAACGCACTTTTCATCTGTCGTTGGAGTGCTGTTGTAGTGTTTTTCTGTTTTTGCCTTTGGTTTTCGTTGCTCTTCTCAAGAAACGCATTCACTTTCTTCAACATTTCAGCAACGCGTTCAGCTCTAGGATAGAGCGCACGTCCTGTGTAGACGCGATGCCTACCGTGACGTGGAATCTACCCAGCGGCTTGCTCTCAGCAAGAAATCACGGTTCACATGCGATGCGCAACAGGTCTGTCGGCCCAAGCACGCTCACATGGCAGGAAGCTTCCTTCTTGGGCAGCTGTCAGAGGAAGAGATACATTTTCGATACATTTTCAGGAGTAGGGACATACTTGACTATACGACAAGACTACATTACACGGCCATGCGGAACCACAAACACAGTGGAACAAAAAGTTGCGCACTGTCCGCATGACGATGGCACTGAACATAACCCTAAATCACCACAGCCCTGTCCCTAACCGAACCTAACAAATTCCTGCAATTTGGCTTTAGATACCGAGTTGTATGACATCGTGGGTGAACCTGAGAAGCGTGTTCGGCGCACCATTAGAACAATCCTGATGGGCTTCGAAACCCTGAAGCCCACAGCAAAACTTTCCCTGCCCTGAAGGTCCCTGAAGCCCTGAACCCAGCCTACTATTGGGCCAAAGTGACTAGAGTAATTCGGGCTTTGGTCCGTGAATATACTCGGCTACGTGGTAAATCATAAGCAAGGCTCTTTTCGGAACAATTCTCATCGAGTTGCTGTTCCCATTGGCTCCCGGTGTCCCGGGTCTCTCGCGCCACTCGCGGCCAGAAGCGTCGGCGCGCCCGAAAGCCTTTCGAGGTTTGCATCCCTGTAGAATAAGGGCACTTGTACCCTGTATCCACTCCTTTTCATCCCCAACATCCTTTCAAGACCACACTCAGCGACACCAAACTGTCTTTTGGCATTCTTGCATCCTGAAACGGTGAAGACCGGCAGCTGTAGCATTCAAACCCCATTCTAGAGCGATTCATCTCCCGCCTTTCGGAAAGAGTGCTGACCACATCCGCCAGCACAGCTGTTTGACAGCCTGTGGCGGGGATAGGCGGTGGTGTGCTCGAGTACTCGTCGGGATCGATTCGAAGCGCACCCCGAGGCATCCCGCAACCCAAGACTTCAAGAGCGCTTGGAGAACAACGGGCTCCGCGGACCTCGTCCAGGGAATCCATGAGGCCCGAGGCCAGCCTGCCGGATCCGCAGCTCGCCGTGTAGGTTCATCAAGGTACGGGTCGACTTAAAAGAAGAAGAGCACCACCCATGCGGGTCAAAATTGAAACTCCGTCCTTGTGCAGGCAGCCACGCAGCCATGGCGCAAGCTGCGCTCCGCCTGCACGGACAGGTGCGGCCAGAGGTTTGGGCGTCTTCTCCGATCTCAGCTTACAGGGAAGGACTCCAGCAGGAGATTTGTGGTGCGACCGTTAAGTTGGCAGCAGGTGCAGCAGTTCGACAGCTCTCCTCGAAGTCGAGCTGGGCACCGCAGCCCAGCCAAAACACCTGCCAGTAGATCTTCAAGTCTTCCATCAAACTCGGAAAACAAAAGCGCATCCCTTCAAGGTAGACTTCGGCGCGCACCAGCGGCCAGGCGAACAGCCGCCGCCGCCCTGCCGCGACAATGGCACCGAGAACGGTGAGCCTCAAGAGTGCTGCAGCTTTGCCTTCTTGAGGATCAGGGACTGACCTAGTATAAATGGGGTTTACAAATGCCACTTCGGCGACTGCCGGTGAAGGCTCAGGGCATTCCAAATGGTCTCCAGTGCACACGTGATTGCGCATTCTGATCTGTTGTCACCAGAATTTGAATCTAATCATCTAATCACACGCACACGAGGTACGGGCACATAGCCTAGTGCTCGTTGAAAGTCCAAGCCCCTGCAGATGCATGCGAAGCCTTACGCCTTAGGGGCAAACCAGAGCTTCCCTCCTTTGCTCTAAGGATTTGCACCGCGTGGCAGTCCTCTCATGCGCCGGGCTGGAGCCAGGTGGAGCAAGAAAAGCGAACCCATCCTCCAGATGTCACAGTTGATAAAAGAAGTCCTGCATCACACTATAATTTTTCTCGTGTGTCCCGGAAATTGCAGGAGTTCGTCAGAGCGCTGTATGTGACTCTTCGGGCCTTGCCCTCGCAAAATTGGCTTGGGGGAGGCTCGACACCTCGCATGCCACAATCTCGTGTCCTGGTTTGTCGGAGTTGTGGCAAACGCTTCCAGAGCTTCGGGATCAGACGTTCACTGCAACATTGAATCTCCTCAACATCTTCTCAGGTCCTATGATCCCTTCCGGTTCCTTTCCGGCTCTTGCTCAATCAGCCCCTTCCTTCTGTTGCAAACATCTCGGGCCTTGGACTGCAAGTCAGTTGGCTGGAAAGGGTTTTGATGCTGCGAAGTCTAAACCTCCCAAATCCCTGAACCCTGAACTCAAAATCCTCAGATCCGTGCGCAGCTGTTTGTCTTCCCCGGCCTGGAGATGGGCAGGGAATCCACATAGGCCTGCGCAGCCAGAAAAGACCCTGGTGAGCGTTTCGGGTCAAGGGCCTACTTTTTACGTTGCACCGAACGATGGATTTGAGATCTCAGTCGCTTCTTGCGCAGCCAGCTTTTGCATTCTTTCTCCAACAGCCTGTGGCTTCAGACCCCAGTGGTAAAGCTGCGCCATGGCCAGCCAGGAATAGGCTGCGCTGAGCAAACCGAAGGCACTGGGCCTTGCCGGCAGCTGAGAAGGCCGCAGAAGGTTTTCGCAACTTAGGATTCACTCAAGGTTTCGGAATTTACGGCTTATCGGGTTGAAGGTTCAGGGTTTGCCTTATAATTCAGTTTAGTGCATCGGGGTTTTTCGAGGTTGTTGCAGCTATTCGAACCGAGCGGCCGGGAGGGTTTCGAGCCGTAGAATCGGTTTCTGCTCGTCAGCCGCAGCAGAGATTCGACCTCCCAGAGAACCCAACTTTGCAGCACAGAATTGAAGGCAATGTTCCTTACTTGAGGTCTGGAGAACTTTAGCTTCAGACTCTCTGTCAAAGTCCGAACCCCGACTTATCTTCTGCCCCTGCCGAGCAACGAGTGCATCCCCAGCACAAGCTGTCAAGAGCAGCGCCAACGCATAGACCACGTGCTTGCGGCAGGTATCCTGGCTTCGTGGAGGCTGCATAAGAAGCAGAGATATGGGCGTCCTTTGGTCAGGGACACTTCAGGGACTCCAGTCTGCAGAACTATCGATGCAACATGTGGGGTCTGGTGGAGAGAATAATGCCATGGTTAAGGCTTTCGGGCTTTTGCCGGCAGTGTTGAACACCTTCTTTGGGCTTCGAGGATGTGATTGGGGGTTTAGGAGCTTATTGGACGCATTGGGGTCATCGAAAACCCCGTGGTCCAGCAGTCTCCGAACTTCCAAGACGGCACCCTGCCAAGGAACAATTGAATTATGTCGGGCTCCTTAGTCTAACTTACAGAATTTCCCATTGCACGGTCTAGTCTAGTGCTAGAGCCGATGGAACCCTTGAGTAAGGATCTCTGGTATCATGCAACGAAAGGCTGAACAGAGCTCGACTTCGTCAGGGGGAAGAGTTCCAGGAGCCAGGAAATGAGGGGAAGAGTCTAGGGGGTTAAGTTGTTGAAGGCTTACGAGTAAGGAAGTGAGGGGATTGTTAGGCTGGGGTCTTAGCATTTAGGGCTCCCGGGTTGGCGGATCTAGCTCTTGGAACTCCGTACCAGCGACGCATCCTTCAGCCGGCGTCTGAGATGTGGTGCCGTGGCTTTTGCCTCAATCTGGGAAGCTGTAAGATGACAGGAAGAAAATGCCTCAGACCCTAAGACCCTAAACCACTAGGACTTTCAGAAGGGAAACCAGGCACCATCAAGCTGTCACGGTCATCCTGCACACATGCTGAAATTCCGAGACTGCCACAACGGCGCCCATTTCATGGCAGGACATGGCAAAGGCGAAATGCCAGATGCCACATGCTAGGAAGTATCGGCACCAGCCGTCCGATTATTGCAGATCAAGACACTTCTTGCGCATGCTTCTCCGCCACAACCACCTGCTGCAGTGCCTGCTCCAAGGAAAGGGAGCAGGAACGTAGACCCGCTCATGTGCCTTCAGTACGGATCAGGTTATAACGAAAACCCGCACATGCACAAGGAGACACCTTCAACAGAATGAGACTCTGAATGTGTTTTGTGGAGGCGAGCGGCGCCCTTGGCCCACCTGTTTTTTTGAGCTTCTCAAACTCTCAAAGAGGAATGCTCTTCAATCAAAGGACAGTCTACCATTCATCCAGCAGAGCCCTCAATTTGGTATCCTACACTACTGAAACCATGAAACGTTTCTCCGAGATCATCTGGGCTGTCTGGGTTGTGAAGGAACTGAGCTTGAGCTACCACTATGGTCAACTGGTAACTCCAACTGAAGTCTCTCCACAAGAACCCAGCTTTTTGCATCCCGGATTCCTGGCCGTCCAGTTTGCCAGTGGCCGACCTGGGCAGTGCAGATCGAAGGCGCAAGGCTGCGCGCCAGGGAAGCAGCTCTTTGGCCCGGCCTCGGCCCCGGTCTACTGCATCTTGTGTTTTGGGTTGAGGTCTCGGTTTTGGGGTTATGTTCCGGGTCTCGGGGCGCAGGGGCTGCAGGGTTTGCCTGCAAGTCACATGGTTGGAGGTGAAAGGCTTGCGTGCTTTGAGATTTTGAAGTGTTACGGCTGTTGTGGTGCTTGAAGGTTTTGGCTTTGTTGGGCTTGTGGTTAAGGCTAGGGCTGTTGCAGACCATGTGGCCTTCCTTGATGTATTCAAGGAGTGAAAATGCTGCGATGTCTCAGGTATATAGACCAAGTTCAGGTATGCAGACCAAGTTCCAGTGAAAACATATCCTGAACTGCCGCATCAAAACTTACTGGTAAACCCTGCCCCAAAGAATAACCGGGGCACCAAAATAGCTGTTACGCCTGGCGGCTGACGGCTCTGGAGGCTGTCGTCAACCCCGAAGCACGTCGGCCTCACAAATAGCTGCCTTATGGTTCAGGCTTAACATAGGAAGTTATGAGGAGTTGGGCTTTTGGGGATTTGGCGTTTAGGGTGAATGGGATCCAGGGTTCAGGTGGATTCGGGGTTCAGGGCTTGCTGCTTGCTCCGTGTCCTACATCTAGCGAAGCTGCACCTTCAGCTTCCCTCAAGAGCCGGCGGCATCGCGCAGAAGCTATCGCGGCATCAGGGTTTGAGGCCAGGGTTCCTGGTAACCCTGCCCGCCATGCAGAGACTGTTTGGACTGTTTACACTACTGCCGTCGGATCAGGATCTACTCCATGGCCATCGGCAGATGTTGAAACCGGGGTTCGGGTCTGCGGAGCGCAGATTTCCGTTGAGACTAGCAAGTAAATAAATATATAGTAGTGACTAGTGGCCTCCAATCAGAACGCAATCAGAACAGTGAGGGCTTGAAATTTTGAGGCGTAGCTAACAACCATAATGGAGGAATACTCAAATCATTCAGATGCCTGTGCTCCGGTTCAGGGCAGGTTCCGATGTTTGGATGGTGTTGAATTCATTCAAGGTGGTGATGAGGGCTGTGTTGTCCTTCACGGAAAGACAAGAACAGAGGAACTGAAGCCTCTAGTGTGCACGCCGCAGGATTTTGTGAGGTTGCGCTTGGGTGGAGGTGGGAACAAGGCCTTTGAGGATTTGCACTATGGCAGAGAAGCACAGTCCCAGGAGACTTGTCGTACATGCGCTGCGATTGGAGTTCGGGAACGAAAAGGCGAAACCAACCGAGACACCCGCGTCAGTCTTCTGAACCTCAAGCACTGAATCTTTAATCATTTGAGGCTCAGCTGTCATTCAAGGCAAGGAAGGCGAAGAGATCGCCTGATTCGTCCTGCATCTGGACCCGCAAGCTAGAAGACGCTGATATATATATATATATGCATATATATATATATATATAATATACACATACCATGCAGTATGTACAAACTGCCTTTTCGCATCATGCGCTCCATTGTTACTGGTTGTCATATTCTCAAACTGAAGCCAGATGCTAGTCCTCCGCATTTGCGAGGCCATGCATGGATCTCTGAAAACGGCTCTCCGAAGTGCTCTTGCTCGCCGCGTATCCCCAATCTGACACCACCCGACGCATCCTCCAGCACGAAAGCCTCCTGGACACCCTCCTGATCTCTAAGTCTTGAAGGCGTCTCTGGGGTTGGAAGGGGTTGTGAGCGCAATGCATCAACAACATGCACGAGTATCCGTTGATGGCACACCTTCGGTGCCCTTGAATGCCATGTCACTCGTGCAGGACCCAAGAAAAGAAGCCTGGAATCCGCTAACTTAATACAGCTCAGGACGAGCTTCCGTGTCTTGCAGGTTCTGTTCCAAGGCTGCCAGGTCCACCCACTGTCCTGTTGCATCTGTGTCGTGACTACTTGGTCGAATCCTGGCTGCCTTGCAGGTCAGGCTGGGGATCCAAAGGCGCAACCGACGAGCTGCTGTCAAGAAATTTGACCTCCCAGCCCGAACGCTGTGTGAAACTGTCTTGATGAAAATAAGAGCAGTGTTGACTCGTTTTGCTTATCTCGTCATTGGCTGTCGGGCCCCTCCTCGGAGCTTGGCATGCCGGTCGGCGCGGGAGTGATAGACAAAGCCTCCTGCGCACGGCAAACGGCAAAGGCCTCAGGTCCCAAGCTCGGAGCCTGTTTCGGTAACAAGCACACAAGGGGCCTCGGACCCTGCATCATGATTCCGATGGCTTCTTAATGATCCACCGAGAACCGATGACATGGCATCTGCGGCTGTGCTGGAAATCCCTCCGACGCACGTCCGGTTTTCTCCCCGCGCCTCCCGGCATCAGGCGAACCAAGTCTCGAGTTTTGAAGTATCCTAGGCTTCGCAGGACAAGGGGCCCTGCTTGCTTGATAACAAGCTCCCTTCTGAAGTGTTCCACACAGAGAGGGGGAGAGAGAGAGAGAGAGAGAGAGAGAGAGCGACACACAGAGAGACAGACGTGGAAACCAGATTGAGCAGAGCGGGCAGAAAGCGCGGAAGGAGTCGGCACCATTGGCGAAACGAACGCCCAGGCGGTGTCCCATGGTCCAAAACATAGTGCTTGTCGCGGACAAGGTCTCGCGCTACGGCCATGACACCTTGTGCTACTTCTGAAAACTAGAACGAAGGGCTCCCAACGACAACGACATTGTCCCCGGACTGTCGAATTCTCCGGTCTCAAACCCTCAGCGAGGTGCAGACGATTGCCAAGGCACGGCGACCTCTCAGCATCAGAAACTGGCCGTCCGTGTCACCTGCATCGACATAGCCTGCAGCGTCAGACAGGTTTGGGCTGTGGAGCCTGCGGCTCTTGATGAGTCCGTTGCGACGCTGCCGCGATGGCCAGCAACGCGCAGCACTCAACTTCTGGTGGACCATTAAGTTCCAACTTCCCTGGACCCTGGCGGGAACCGGCCCCTTGGCCCTAGGCTCTCTTAGCCAAGATACCTGCGCAAAGCATGGGCCCATGAAGGTAGAGCTCTCCGACCTCCCGCGCACGAGTCTTCAGGTTTCGTAAAACGTCTCTTGGCATCGGATTTAAGAGTTCATGCAGTGTTTTTGGTCTAGGGTGTTGGTGGGATGGCTGTCATTGATGGGTTGAAACCTCATCAACGAGATCTGCCCTGGGCCAACCTAGGGTATTGCCCTCTTGAAGGCCCAGCTGGCTGCCAAAAACGGGTCAGAGGAGTAATACTGCGCCCCAGGGATTCCGCGTAAGCATTGACTACGCCGCAATCATGAAACTATGTGGCGCCAAGCCCATGAAAGCAACTTGTGAATTAGGCTATGCAGCCACGCTCTGAACGAGGAAAGCTTTGTGATTGCAACATGCCGAGACTTGGACTCTTGGAGCTGCGGCTGAAGACCGCACATCAGCGCTTTCAGGCGTGTGAAGCCAAATACTGAGGTGCCTTAAGCGGTAGCAAAAGAAGCACCTGCCTCACCCAAGTGGCTCAGTACGAGCTCAGACCAGAGTGTGCAGGATATCTTCGCCACCAACATGCAAGCTGCAGCCACAGGAAAACTTTCTCACAGTTACGCAAACATCAACAAGACAACGCCAACTACATGCCCAAACTCTCAAACCTAAGCCTCCAGACCCCAACACCTCAAACCTAAAATATGTATCTGTGAGAAACAGCGGCCTGTCCAGCTGCAACCGGAGTGAGCCTAGGAGCTTGTCGACTGGGCAACGAAAACCTCACAGAGTAAGACCCCCTTAGAGCTTTATACTACTCTTGTACATCTAGTCTCTGAAAGTCAATGTCCCCTGGGGCGTTCTAAGGTTTAAACGGCCGTAAGGAATCTTTGCAATGAGGGCTGTTTACATGAAGGTGCTCATTTCAGCGTGTCCAAACAAACCATTGCAAGACATCAGACTTTGGCTTCGTGCCAAGTTGCAAGGGGTATCTGATTATAGTATCTCTGGGTTTTGGGGTGTTTGTGCACTACGACCCCAATTTGGAAGGGGCGTTTGGCATCCGCAACCTGCACAGCCATCAATTCGAGGCAAACCTCTCCACTTACCTGTCCAGAGCTCATAGACTTTTGTGTCGGAGGTTAACTTTTCAGGGTTATATCGGAACAAGAACAACCCCAAAAGGCCAACCCCCCAACCGATCGCAACCCCTAAACTTATAAACCCCTAGCCCTCCGATGCGCCCTAGCCCTAACCCCCAAGTCTTGGCTGAGCTTCGACTCGTCAAGGACTGCAAACTTCACAGTCGACCCCACTGGCTGCAGCCGCGTGCCAGTTCCTTCGGCTTACAGGTTTACGGTTCAGTTCTTTGGGGTTTAGTGGGGCTCGGGCGGGGGGGGGGGGGGTCGGACTCCGATGCTCTTTAAGTTGCTCTTTGAATTGCAAGTTCAGGTCCTGATCCGAATTTGCTGCTTCTTGTCTGCTCTGTTGCGGGAATCGTGTTTAAGTGGACGAACTTCTGGCGACTGTGGTTGGTCAAGGCCAAGCCTTCTGATTCTGAAGCTTGTATGCACTATACATTATCCACCCTGATCTATCTTAAGTCCTGACCTACGGCGGCCTAAAACGTCAAAAGCCTTCTAGTCAACACAAAAATTAGCTATGACTCGGGCGAGACTTTCTGAGGCTCCGGGGTGCGGAGTTCGGGCGTGTGTAAATACGCCCAGAACTCCATATATGTCTCGAGTGGCGATCTTCTCCTTTGGTCTGCAGCGGATGGCCGTAGAAGGACAGCCAATACCTAGGATGCCGCATGCAGTGAAGCTCCCGCTGCCACGCTGTGATGCAGCTCGGAAGGTAAGGCAATCCTAGACTGAACTGCGCGATCATCTTGGCAATTGGTGCTGGATTTAGGCTTGAAGGTCTTATGTAGGTCTTTGTATTGTGGTGCCCTGGAAGAAGTGCAGACGGTTGTCTCTGTAGCTATGAGCAGCTCGATGAATTTCGCCGGATGGCCGCGCCAGCGATCGGCCTTGGCGAACCACGAGACTCGACTCTTCAGCGACTTTCAAGCTTCGAAGCCCTGCCTAGCCCAATAAACCCTATGGTGCCATCGTCCACCCAAGCGCTGCTCCTCGCCGATCTTCAAGCCACCATCTTCGTGGCTCACGCCAAGCCGCCAAACTTAACTGGTTCTGCATTGATGCATCGAGCCACCAGTGCTGGGGGCAGCCGCTCGGCCCAAGCAATCACGAGGCGCACGTTGGGGAGCCTGAATGGCTTATTTCCAGTGCTGGGCTTCTCTTCGAGGTTAGCTTCCAGATCTTAAATACCAAAGCCTGGTTCTTGCATGTTGGGTTTGCCACTAAGACTCTATGGCTTGAGGATGTTCGATGCTGTGGCCGCCGAGATTTCGAAACCGAAGCACTCTTTGGGAGTTCGAGGCCGAAATCCCCATTCAAGACAACAAACTGAGCAGTACCGCCTCAAGGCTGTAGATCCGGCATGATACTAGGGGCTTGGCGAGTTAGAATAGGATCTGGCGGTCTAAGGCAGGATATTGGAAATGATTTAAACTCCTACGTCACCTCCTAGGCATCTCCAAGGCAATGCTTGAAAATCTTGACCCGCAGAGCATGCTGTGCTCTGCAGCTGCGGGTCCTGTCGGTAAGAACCCCTTGGATGAGCCAGACCGTCGGATCCAATTGACGAAGAGAAGAAGGGGAAGCAGCCGCTCCCAGCCGCCAATGTTCACAAGAGCCCCATATATACTCACCAAATCTCACAGTCACCAGCAAAACGCCTACCTCTTGTGACTCCTGTGGACAAGCGCTTCAGTCAAGTAGCTGTTTCTTCGGATCCTGTCGGGTGCGGCGAGTTGTCACCCCTGTTCCAAATCAAAAGGGCGTTCCAAATCAAAAGGGCGTACGGTGACTGTCCTAGGTCTGAACTGATTCGACTGAGGGTGAAGGCGAACAGTCCTCGGCCAAGAGCCTGAGCTGATCCGGCACCAAGCCCACCACGTCAATCTGCTCTGCTTGCACCTCAGGATCCGGGACTGTACTAATCAAGACCCAACACGCTAGGATTCTTGCTGAACCCAAAATGTGTGAATTTTCAGAACAGAAGGCAATCAAATAAAAAACTCCAAATACTTGGATCCTCACTGACGGGACCCTTGATCAGACATCAAACCCCAAAATACTTGACGTACTAATCGTACTATGCAGGACGCCTGCAAAAGACTCCGCGAATGCGAGGACCGTATCTATAAGCACCACAGGTAAGGCAGGCCGCGCACTGAACCCCCCAGGGACTCCCGCAACATTTCATAAGCCCATAAAGACCTGGTTCCTGCAATTTACAGGCCCTTATAATCAGGATCCTCCTGCTGAAAGGTGGATTCTGGTTTTGCAGGTCTCTCTAACCAGGGTTCTACCTCTGCTACTTCGGGGCCCTTATCAACACAATCCTGCCATTTAGGGATCGGTGTCATTCTGTTGGCCATCCTAGAGCCGAAACCTCAAGCGGATTGACGGAGTCAGCCTTTGAAGGTCGTAGCCCCTGCGACCCGTATTGAGTACACTACTTCAAAAAACCAAAGGTTCGGTCGAGGTTGCATGAACAAAAACAGGAAGAGCGCTTCAGATCTGGCCAGGCGCTAAACTGAGGAGCTCCACGGGCTCTGCGCTGGTGGAAACCACGGCACAGCCAGCGAGTGCCAGAGTGAGGCTGAGCCTTGAAGCTATAGAGAGTTTTTAAGGGACTAAAGAAGTAAATCTGATGCCCGATAAGCGAAGGGATCTCGCCTCATTCTTCGGGGACGCTCTCCTTCGACAGCTCAAGAAGTTAATGCTTACGGGCTGTCCACGTGCGCCAAGATGCTGGCCCACAACGGCGGCGGGCCAAAAGCTGCGCCTTGCAATCTGATCACTCCCATCTTTTCAACATCCCTGGCTTTCCTCAGGTTCCTCAAAGGCTGCTTAGCCGATACAAAAAGCCAGAGCTGCCCCACACCCAAGAAGAGAGATCCACTATCCGAACACAGGCCAAGAGCCCCCGAGACCGGCCGAGGCACAAGTTCTGGAGGACCCTGGGTGGAGCGCCCTGCAGGCAGATTTGGTGAACCGGGGAAATCTTATTGGGAAAGGCTGCGGTGTCACGCTGGTCCTGTGCTTTGCTGAGTTCGGGTCTGCGTCTGCTTCTTGGGTACTGAAAGGTCGGAGCTGTGGGGGTTTCTTCTAAATTTGGGGAGGGGGAGGGCGGATAACTGAGGTAGCCTTCAAGAATAGTTACGCAGGAACCCTCTATTACGAACTTTCAGAAGCAGGAGCACATATCGGTTCAGCCTGCGCTGCGCTTCATGTCAGGGATGCGCTACTATGACATTCGGGGCTTTCCGGGGCTCCTCGAGTCCGCAGATGTCCGCATAGTAACCTCAGCTTTGCACAAGGACGGTGCAACCTCCTGTCTCACCTGCAGATGCAACTGATCTTCGTGGCCTCTGCTGCTTGGTTCCCAAAGGCTTAGATTCCATCGTCTCGGTGAAAGTAGTGACGGAGCAATCCCCGGAAGCCGGTACTACGGGCAAGAGGGGGGAAGCCAATCGTCGACTATCGTGCTTGCGGCCGGATAGCGGAACTCGTGCAGCATCATGCAATGCGTGACTTTGGCGATTTTCAGCCGCTGGCCTGCCAGTCTGAACAACAATCGAGGTTTGAGGCTGCGTTCAACTCCCTGGCACGATTCAGGTTGGACCATGCAGCTTCTAAACCGATCTTCGCTCGGATTGCGGGCAGGCATCTTCCGCCGGTGCACATCAGCGACAACACGCCTCGTCGACTCAATCAGGGCATGGAGCGGCATGGACATCAAAGCTGCAGACTTAATTACTCCCCTTCTGAGAACTGCAAGACTAAAAGCAAAATCCAAGCGGCAATCCGTCGCGCCCTGCTGCGGTTGTTGGACGCGGTCCAGAGCAGATTGGCCTGCAATCAGGGACCAGCCCCGAACGGCAAAGCCGAAGGATTTCCCGTAAGTTTGGGGTGAAGGTGCCTAGGCTCCTTTGCTGCTCCACGTTGAACAGGGGATCCTCCAGCGAGATCCAGTCCTCTTCCTCCTGAAAAGCATGAGCACAACTCGTCTTGCGGTTTGGCTTACGGCATGCTAGGGCTTACCGCCCACCCGTACCCACGGCCCTGCAGATAATGGTCTTTTAATAAGGCTTACGGATTTGGGTTAGGGTTTGGGGTTAGGATGCTAAGCAGAAGTAATGGAACAGTAGGCCACCCACCCCCTCTGCATGTGGGCTGTGAAATATTTCTGGAGTGCGCCCGCTTAACCCGGAAATGCACTAACGTTACATCATAGCATACAAGGCTTCATACTTGGTAATAGAAATCCTCGTATAGTTTTTATATGTTATGAAGACGGTGTGAGAAAATCAGGAAAACCGATGACACCACGGGAAGTAACCCTGTTGCAATTAAGGCACAAACTTCTTCAGCGTCCCCGTAACCTTGAAGCTGACTGTCCCCTCATTCGGCGAGCAGTAGTAGTAGTAGTAGTAGTAGTAGTAGTAGTAGTAGTAGTACTACTACTACTACTACGGCGACGACGACTACTAATAATAATATTACGAATAAGTGCAGTAGTAGGTCGTAGTCATCGTGGGCCTCAGAAGTCATTTAGCGCTTCGGAGCAGCTCACAACCGGTAGGGCGGACAGGAGAAAAGCGGAGCAGGACGAGACCTGAACGAGGAGGGGCGCAAAGGACAAGCGAAGCCGAGAAGCAGAAAAACGTTGGGGCCTGAAAGCGAAGCACACAACACAAAAACCGAAAAGCGGAACAGCAGAAAAGAAAAAGCAAGCACATATGGAAAACGAGAAGCAAACAAGCAGAAGTCAGAAAGAACAGCGGGAAAGTAGATAAGCGCAGGAACAGAACAGCGAAGCAGACAAGCAGAGAAGCGGAAAAGCAGAGAATCAGAAAAGCAAAAGCACAAACAAGCATAAAACTACTAGCAAGCAAAAGCACCAGGCAGAACGGGAGAACGGGAGCAAAGCATAGAAAACCACAGAACAATCACAAAATACAACAAAACACTCCTAAAACACTGGGCGTCGGTTTCCATTGGAATCCTGCAGGCCCTGAGGAAACTCGACACAGCAGCACACATGAACTCTCGAGCCAACATAGTCCGAGAACCCCTTTTGAACCATCGGCGCACTAATACGAGGAAAAGGCAAGGCTCCAGGAGTCTCTATCCACTGCTCCGGCAGGATGCCGAGCGCGAGACACGACTTCATGCCATGGCTTGGGCCAATAGACTAAACCCCAACCCCTCTTTGAAATCAAAGCCTAAATCCCCAAACCCCGAATCCCGAGCCCCTAGAGAACCAAACTACCAAACCCTGCGAAACCCCAAAGCCTCAACCCGAAATAACTTCAGAAAAGAGTCGGTCAGGGGGATCGTGGCTATGCGCTCTGAGGTGTCAGAAACCTCGGCTGCGCTTTGCTCACGAGGAGGCAAACATGCTGAAAACAAGTGGCCTTCAAGGTCTTTACAACGAGGGTAGCAGGGTTTGGTTTTACATGCTGTAATCAGGAGCCTCGTTCTTTGTTTTCTTTCTTTCTGGGGGTGTGTTCTACAAACTGTTGTGGACGCTGAGGGGATGGCACGACAACTGATGGTTCAAAGCCCCTTTGTTTTGGTGGGGCCTTCTGAAAAACAAGGGGCTCCTTTTGACCTCTCTAGCTTTCTGCTGTGTACTGATGGTCAAAGTCTGCCAGCTGCCTGCTCCTGGGAGAAATGGTAACCCTTCAGACCTCGAGGTTTTGCCCTCAACAAGAAGGATAGTTTTTCCGGAAGATCGCGGCATGTCGTGCTACTAAAAAGAACTCGGCATACCAAAACTCAAAGGGGGACCCACAAGTAGTAGCAGTACCCAAATCCAAGGCACGAGAAGGCATGGCTGCAAGGTCTCGACCAGGAAGCCTTTGATTCAAGGGCCGGCTCTCAACTTCGTGGATCGAGTATCACCTTAGGCCTCGCCATGTCCCTTGGATCAAAATCCTTCAATTCAAAGCCTACATACGCGCTGGCAAAGGGCGGTTCCTGGAGTCTTGCCTGGCAGCATCTGGAAGATCAGTGCCTTGCAGCAGGAGACTTCCTCCGGGATTTAGAAGTTGACTAAGTTAGAAGGGTCAGCGGGTTTGCTTCGGGCAACGCTAAGCCGAGCCTCCCTCGTGTCTTCACGGTGTTCAGGCATGTCTCTAGAGGTGAACCTCGGAGTGGTGTCCTGAATCCTGCATCTTCGCAAATACTGGCCCGAAAATCTGCTTCTCCACACGAGGCCAAATACTGAACAGATCCCTTGCCCCGAGCATTTAGCCTAACAACTCCGGAGCGACACGAGCTTTACGACAATCCCACCCAAACAAGTGGCCACAAGCATCCGTGAATCTTCGAAACCTGCCTTTGCCTCGTGGTGCCGGTGCAACGATGGACAGTCAAGCGATCCGGTTACCACATACTTTCATGGCGGAGTTGTTCACACCGCAACTCCCCTGCGGTTGACACCAAACTCAGCATTGTCATCTACTCATCCACACACGCTGTCACAAAGTAAGATGAAGCACTGAGGAGGATGAACGGTCGGAGGCAGCGCGCACATGCCAGCAGGAGCGGCAGGAAGTCTGGATGAGTCCTGCATGCACATCATCCCTCCCTCCCGACCGAACAGCAAAGGGGGCGATCTACTTTGGATCTGGTGCATTTTTGGGTTTCAATGAACCAAGCACAACCGGTTGCACACTGATGCCCTCTTCTGCGGCCCGGCCTGTCGACCAGAATGCCCACAGAACCCGCAGCAGGCTCCGTCCTTGCATTTCATGATCTCTCATCAAGCTTGCGATTCCGGCACAGTCTCAGCCTGTTGCTGCCACCAGCCTTGTTGTCGTTGCTCCTCCACTACTGACACACGGAAATTTGACCACTCCGCTGGGAAAGACCGGTTGAAGAACCTTCAGACAAACCCCGTGTGAGCATAACACCGCCAAATATAGATCCCATATAAGCCCAGAACAAACTCAGTCTAAACCTCGCTCTGTCGAGGCGAGCGAGGATCTTCGCCGCGAGCCGTTCAGACAGACGGCACGCGAGAAGTCGGCTCCGCTCCACCACGACTAGGTCACCAGAATTGCTTGCTGTCTGGGGTTTCGGATGGTTCTTAAGGATGAGGGCATGTGCGGCTTGTGGCTTCAGGGTTTTGAGGATGAGGTTCAAGGTCTAGGCCACAGCAGAGGCAAGAGATTCACGCAGGGGCTTTCAGGGTGTAGGTTTCCGGCTTATATCATCTGGCTTTGCTCAAAGTGGGGCATTTGTCAACTTAGTGTCAACACACTTTTTCGATGGCTGCCTTCGTAGCTGAGCTCGAACTGGCCAGGCACGCAAATCCTGAGTAGCGAATCTTGGCTGGTGGATCGAACAATCTGAACAGTCGGAAAGAACAGCCCCTTAGTCCCAAAATAGACTTAACTGCAATACACGCCTGAAGAACTCCAGTCTAGTGACGGTCCCCCTTTATTGAACCCAGTACCAATATTTCAATAATTCGGCACGGAAAAGCTTCTGGACCTACTGGAAGCCTTTAAGGCTTGTGCCGGAGCAAGTTACTTGCCAGATCTTCCTTTAACATTAGTGAATATCCCCAAGCATGTTCTGGGATGCCCAGAATGACTTAAAGATAATTCCTGTTCTACACTGGGATCCTTCCTTCTTCCTGTCCCCTTCAAGAAACGGCAAGCAATTTGCCACCGAGCTGCGCCGCTGCCCGAGGTGTCTCAATTGCCTTACAGAGAAGAAGCTGATAAGCACAGACCTAAGGCAGTTTCAGACAATCGGGCATGGACCATCACAATTGTAAGTAGTTGAATCCTTCAAAACCGGATCAAACCCCCGTAAAGCTTCTCACTTTCATAGAGGAGGGGGAGTGTCGGCTTTCGGCATTTAGGGTCCATGGCGTTGCTCGGTTTCACTTCCACTGGGTTCAGAGTAGTTAGTCGCTCTAACCTCCTTGTATGGCACTGTGCCCCTGGCAACAGGTTCTGAGGCAGACCGCTATCTAAGGCAAAAGTCTTGGAAACACTCAAGCTGGAACTCGTCTTTGCCTGTGTCTCAATCCGACTGACAGCGCTTACAGGACCTTCGAAAGAATGTGCATATCTCCCCGAACCAGCGCAAGCTCTACATCTGCATTCGCTTCGCAAGTGCCTGATGCTCGTACGCTTCAGGGACACTCTGCGGCTGCGGCAGCGGAATGGGCGGGCGGCTGAATTGAGCCATGGGAGCAGTTCCCGACTTAGGCCTGGGTATACAGTTTATACACTTAAACTCCCAAACATTGAAAAGCAAAGAGAGCCTATCTGTGCGGAACCCACTGTCCCAACTCTCACTGAAGCCAAAGAGAAACGGCAATGCTTGCACGGCTGGGGCTAGTTGTGCTTTCCCTCCATCGAACCCGAACCGCAAAGGAAAGGCAGCAGGCGGCTCGAGGTGGCTTGAGGCACAGGCGCAGCTGTAGATACTAGCCCAAACTCTCACACACCGAAACGTTAAGCCGCAAAGCTCTAGCCAGCGGTGCCGTATCCCAGTGCTTGCCATCGGGAGTGCTGCGGACACGAACCCATCCCGGTGCATAGGCCTCGGTCTTGAACGTTGAGTGGCGTTTATGTGGAATAGAGCTTAGGCTTTGGACCATCGGAGAATAATGCCGGGGGTTTCAGGGTTCCGGGGATCCAGCAGTTGAGGCCCAGGAACTGCATTCGGCGGTTTGTGACTAGGGGTTTCGAGCCAACGTTCAACGTTCGGCCGGCTGAAGAGCCGCCGGATTCTGCTCTTAGTGCAGGGAGGCTTATGCCAAGCAAACGTGCAGCTGAACACTACAGTCACTACAGTCAATTTCTGCAAGTCCTCGAACAAGCGGCCAAAACCTCGGAGCACACCGACTACTAGTTGGACTACTGGTTTACTTTCGTCTCGTTCGAACATGCTCGCGCCCTTGACATTGGAGACGGAAGGATGGTACAAGCCCGCATCCCTGCGGGGACATTTTCTTCGGCTGACTAAGAGCCAGGCCCACGAAACTTTCAGCGCACGGACCTTTCGACGCTTGTGCATGATGCCGGTCCAGATCTGGCAGGTCCATTCCAAGGGTGATCTGGAGCTCCAAAGGTTCAGATTCTTTGTTGTGTGGCAGATTTGGCAGGGCTGGCGAAAGCCTATCGTGCTTTGTCCGACTGTTCGGGATCGCAAATCGCTGTGGGGTAAAGCATTCGGGAAGCTTGGTAGCCACTCTCAGCAGTCGATTTACGGGTACACATCCACTCGGCCCATTTACAGTTCCTCGAGCAGCCTCTGAATCCTACAACTTCCTCAAGATTCAGACTCAGGTCAGATGTCCGGCTCAGTACATCTACAGATTGGCCCGGTTGTCGGCCTCGCAAAACTCCATCCTTCTCCCAGACTTTTTTGCCAAGGGGCAACCAAATCCTTTGGCTCATGCTTGCCGGTGGAACACCTGCTGGGGCAGCTCGTCGTATTCAACTGTGGGCCCGCAAGCAGCATAGTAGAACCCAGCAAAACCCAGGCTCAGCATGAAGCTCTAGCTCCTGATTTGGAGTTGGGGTTGTTGCTTCTGTTCAAGGCACCTGTCCAAATGCGTCTGTGCGCACCAGTACTGTGAACCAAAGCGGAGGTCTCTACGATGAGGGGGTTCTTGACCCTAAACTCTGTGGACCCTAAGCCCTGAAGCTTGAGGCCCTACGCGTGTCCTCATCATCACGCAGACCCTTCATTATTCAGGATTTATACCGGCCTACTTGTCCAGCTTCCTTGAAGGTCTAGTCACGTATAGTCACTCTATCATGATGGTATAACCCAAAGCCCTCTTCGTCAAGGCGCTTCTACAGCTCCGAATTCGAATTTGGGGTCTAATTCGTTTGTCTGAGACTCCGAAGTCGCTAAGGGCGGGGCCAGTAGCCCGTACCGGGTGCCAGTGCTTGCTTCGCAGAGAAGGGGCTCGTGCTGCGGACGGGAGACGGTTTGGATGTAGGGGAAGGGTTTGACAGGCTTGCAGGGTTTCAGAGTTTGTGAGGCTTTGGGGTGTTACGGTTTAGGGTGAAGGATTGGGGGGAATTCCAGGATCTCACTGCGTTGCCAGCTGTAGGCTGCTGCTGGTTGATGCTGATTGACAGACTTAGCGGCATGGACGAAAAGGCAGAGGCCGGTATGCCCGGACTTCTACGAGTTGCCGAGCGACGACGGCGCCTACAACCTGTGATCGGCACTCGCACAGCAGCAAGCAACTTGCCGAAGCTACGCCGACCTTTGCAAGAAGCACAATGCTACGTCAACGCACGTACACACACCACCGCCGCCACAAAGGGAAAAGAAAAAGCAACCCGACCGTTGAAACAGCCGAAACCTTCAAATTCTTACTAACCTGACTGCGGTATACTCGCGAGTCTTGTGCTTGACCCGGAAGCTTACAGGTTGAAGAACTGCCTACAGCCATGAAACCGAAGACAAATTCCTGGCACGAGAGCAGAAAAGGGGACACTTCGCTTCTGATATCTGAGACACGAATGACCCAGAAACATATCAGGGCCCACGCTCGTCGTCTTCCCTCGAGCTGGTGGTGTAGGTTGAATCTGCGCATTGTCCAGGCATGAGGTTCCACACCACACGTGCACATCCAGAAACACAGGTGAACTCAACAGCCAGCTTCAATCAGTTGGCTTGCTCAGTTCAATGTTCACACCATACGGGCAATGGAACAGAACAACAGGCTAGTTATTACAAGGCCAGAACTGTTCATGCGCCATGCGAGACGCCGTCCCATCTTGGGATTAGGTGCTTTGCTTGAAGTCTATAGTGCCTGAATTCTCAAGCTGCAAAGCTCCCAAGGCACAATCCTGACACTACTCCCTTAGCCCTAAACCGCATGTCTGTGCTTGAACCAAGCCCATCGACGCGTGCTCCCAAGACAGAGACTGCACCATCCCGAGGACCGGACTTGAAGCGGCCTCAGGGGGCTTGCGGCAATGGCTTGCAATTCAGGACTAGATTTGAAGAATTAAAGGGGCTGGTCAGTGATGAACTTGGGAAAGAGTGCGGGACTTGCAAACTAAGTCCAACCTCCTGACGCCTAACGAAGTCCGGGTCCAGGGCATTGTCGATCGGTGCATGAAAGTGGACCTCACCTGAACAGTGGACATAGGCCTAGACCTTCGCCAAATCCCAGGCAGCCGAATCTTGAAGGTCTGCAGTCTTTCAGCGGTGAGACGCCGGTGAGACGCCAGTGCAACGCCCTTGTCGCACACAAGAAACAGCAAGCATGCTGCTAGGCCACGGCTTCCGCATGCATGCAATCAATTGCACTGCATAGGTGATCATACGACGAGTCCTACGCGCCAAACCCTGAGTTGTGCATCTCGCGCTGGACTTGAACTTGAGATCTCGGGCTTGGCTTTCCATTCCTCCTGGTATCAATCTTCCCTGCAGCGGGGCTTTGCTGTTCATATGTGAATGTGGACTGTATACAACAGGATATGTGTACAAACAGTTCACAGCCATGTCGTGTGCACCCGTGCCTGCCAAAAAACTCGAGAGGTGTGCCTCAGTGGGCACATTGGAGTGTAAAACTCTCTCTCTCTCTCTCTGTCTATATAATATATACATAAATAAATAAATAACTATACATATGCATATACATATATATATATATATACACGTACAACAAATATACGAAACACATATTTGTGTACGAATGAATGAACAAGTACATATACATATATAAGTAAATAAGTACATAAATAAATAAATACATATATATA